GGTCGCTATAGCAGCGAAGGTCAAAACAAAACATATAGTTCACCAAAGCAAAGTTTCCTGGCTAATGGTGTTCATTTTTCTTTATGAGCTGACTTTGGAAGACAGAGGAGCGGCAGCTAATGGAAACTCAAATGTCTTTCTCTCTCCCCTGTCTGCTCCTCTGTCTCCGCAGCAATCGAGATAAAGGTTAGACATCTGTTTCGGATCTGCTCTGTTTAACCAAAGAAAAGACCCGCTCCTGCCATCTCGTAAATCATCCCACAGCTGGAGCGCAGTCCCAGCTATTTTCTGGGGCTGTTTACCCCACCACGTCCAATTTAGCCATGGGGTTTGCTTTCGGAAAGGCTGCGCTTCCAGTGAGCTGCCTGCTGCCATTTTGTGAGTGGGCCGGGGCTCTGGGTGGGTGGCAAGGGCCGAGAAATTATCATGGGTTTAAAATTATCTCTGGATTTGGAGCCGTCTGGGATGCCAGTCTCGGTGTCAGGCACGCCAGCAGCTGAGCAGCTCAGCTCGCGGGAAAGGTGCTTGCTTGCAGTGAGGTCCCTGCAAGATGCTGGTCACCAGGAGCAACCGCCCTGCCCCAAAAACCTTATGGGCCCACAGGGGCTGAAATGCATAGGCAGAAAGCAAATGAGCACCTACAAAATCTAGCATCTTCCAAATCCTCTTATCTCAGCTTATCATCTCCTTGTTACTCAGAGGTTTAATGATTTTAGGGTTGGGAGATGTATTATTTCCATCTCACAATCAGGAGGCTGAAGCAAGAAGGGACGAAGGGTAGGGTGATAGACACGCAGAAGACCCATGGCTGAGGAAATGCCCACACTTACGTCTCAATTATCTGAAGATCCTTTTCTCCAGGGTTAGCTGCGTCAAGTTTATCTACGTGTATGCTGAAGCACTTGGATTCCATCCTAATTTCCAGGAACACCCAGTGTGGAAGACATCCTTTTCCTTAAACTCTTGACCTTGCAATGTGAACACTTGCAGTGTAGGGCATTGCTTTGGTGTTGTGTTGCTGGAAAACCTACTTTAACTGAGAGAAGCTAGGCAGGTACATGTGTACATCTGTATACTTTTAGACTGGCTTCTTTTACTGATGTAATAAATTTAATACTGGCTAATAAAATGTGTCAGAGCCACTTTGCCTCTCCTTGTAGAGGTTTCCCAAGAAGGCTATGATTAAATGCAAAGCTACACAGCATTTTAGAGAACCTAACCAAGCATTAAATGCCAGTTCTATCCTAACTTTAAGGGTCTGGCTGCAACGCTTAACTCTGCTACATGTCCTACTCTTCATTTTTATGATACCATTGGTATCATAAAAGGTTATGTCTCTGCTCTGGTGTTGAACCCTGTGGTTTTCATCAGCAGACTCGTAGCTCACTTGCATCCAAGGGCAGCATGCATATCCAAAACCCTCTGGATTTCAATTAGAGCAAGTGAGATTTGAGAATGGCTATTGCATAAGCCATGTAATAATTTGTCCCAGGGACAGCCCACTATCACCCTTTAGGGCAATTATAGAGTTGCCCTAAATCTCTGGAGATTTCTGGGAACAGGTTAGACAAACCTTTGCAGGGCTGACATAGGTCAGGTTGACCCTGCCTTGGAGACCTGCATAAAGTCCAAGTGAGTCTTGGATTTAATGCTTTGTCTTCAAGTCCTAATTCTAATTCTGTCCCAGTTAGAAGAGCCACCAGCCCTTGTTTTACCTGTGATCCTCCTTATGGAATATTTCACAGTAAGGTTGCCCAGAGGAAACCACAAAGTCCTACATTCCCTCCTGCAGCCACACCTCCATTTAGGAGTGGGTCCTGGTTGCCTAAATGCAAGCCCCTACTGCAAGTGAAGATGCTCAGTGGTGGTCGACAATATCTGTGTGGGGTTGGAAGACATGGTAAAGGAGGTTAAGGAAATCCCACACAGACCGCGTAACTGGTGCCCAGGAGTTTCTGAAATGATACACCACACCTAGATGTAGGCAACCATATCCCACCCGTACAGTCTATATGGATGGTCAGACCCTCCTAGTGTTGCTTCGGGGTGCCTCACGGCATGAGTCCCACAGGTGAGTTATGCTGAAACATGTGGCCAAGCCTATCCAAAGGAAGATGTGAGCAGGCCAGAGTAGGAAGAGGATGCCAGGTTACCCTCTCCACTGACAATGTACTTTTTTACAAGACGTCTTGGCCATTAGTAGAAGTGAGGTAGCGGTTGTGGTCTGGCAATGAGAGACGTAGTTTATAGGGATTGATAGATCATTCATTAGGCTGATGTGCCTCAAGAAAACAGGCTTTCAGGCATGCAAGTCCTTTTTGGGCCACAGCCTGAGGGTTTGAAAACAACAGCCCAACCATGGGACATGTCCTCCAGCAGCTTGCTTAGGTTGCATGCCAAAAGATGGAGACACTTCCTAAACAGCATTAGACCACAGAACAGGCCTTCACCAGGATACTTTGCTTCCAGTGAAGCTCTTTTATGTCACAGTGTGCCCTCAGCTTATGGGGAAATGCTAGACATGAGTACAGCTTTTACATCTTTGCTGTCTCATTCTCAGGCAGGGGTGGAAGATTGAGTCATGGGCATTTTTGATGTAGGAGATATTGTGTCCTCTGGATCTTGATCCAGAGACTGTGTCCTCTGGGTTACAACACATATATCCATCAGGTTTGTCTTGAGTTCGTTAATGCAGTGTCTGTATTTCTTTAAGGATGCTGCTATGAAATGGTTTTACAAGGGGAAGAGAACTATTTATCCAGATCTAATTTGTCTGCAAAATACACATTAGGGGAGCAGCCCCTTCCCCTAACATGGGGGGACTTGGCAACTGGGACGATGCTAAGCGGAATCTGCAGCATGGGGGTGCTAATAAATGGTGGTGGGAGATGCCAAAGGCCACCCCAAGAGCAGCAGGGTGCAGATGTGAGGGCTAACCATCGGCAGCCAGGAGCGGAGCATGCTGCTTGGGGCTTTGCCGGGCTGGGCTGAGCTATTTTTACTCCTGGTCTGGTCCCGCATCCAAGCTGGCAGATGTGCTCCCAGCTGCAGATGACTTCCATGTGTAACCCCGTCCGGCCGCTGGCTGGGAGCCCGGGGCATAACGTGCTTCCTTAAAAGGCTTGGGAGAGGCAACTGCAATGCCCCAAGGCCTCAGGGATGGAGGGGATGGGGGGAGGCCCCTTCCCAAGCTGCCTGCTCCCCCCGGCACACTGTGAAAGCCCCGTCTGCACTTTTACATCCCAGAGCGCTGCATGGTCTGTTGAAAGCAGCTTTCCTGGGAAATGGAGGCGGCACTGACTTTGGGAAAACCTCTCCTGTGCTGCAAAAGGGGTGGGAGGCTAGAGGGAAGGATGATTAGCGTGTCACTTTGACCTAGCTGCAACTTTTATACCCCGTGAGAGCAAAAATGGGGTCTTCAGCATGTCTCTGTGCATGGTGAAGTGCAGGGCAGGCTGCTCTGTCACCCGGAGCAGCCACAGCTGAGTGCAGCCATTGCAAGAGCCAATTATAATAATAAATAATAAAAAGTTACCCATTCCCCTCTTTTTTACTGAAGCCCTTGTGATATGCTCGGAGAGGGTGCACAGGTTCCCAAGCGTGGCTGCCAGGACTCAGCTCATCCCCAGTTGAGCAGTGTCTCTGCCATCACCGAGCCCTGCAGAAGTGGCTTGCTACTGATGGGGAATTTTGGGAGGTAGGCTGCTCTGCATGCCAGGAATGACACAAAAGCTGGGACACCTAAAAATGTATATCCCCATGGGGCCGAAGCCCAGAGCAGCCCTACTTGCTCCCCTTGCCACAAGGAATCTGCACGTGGACAAGGCAAGGTGAGCCTCTTGGGCCCCTGTGGAACATGTGCAGCAATGAACGGGGAACCTGAGGTGTCTTGCCAACTTTGTTTAATCTTGTAAATGGTGTTATGGAAGGCAAATCCTGTTGGGAAAGCTGCTTTCAAAGGTATCACGTACAATACATGTAGGGTGTCTCATGTCATGGTCCTTGAAGACCCACCTGAAGTGCTTCAGAAAGTAGCACCCCAAAGTGTGGGGCAGGTGAGCACCAGGTCACCTTTGCCTTGCGAGACTCCCGCCCTGACCCATGGAGGAAGACACTGGATAATCCTTAAATTGTAACCTTGGTCTCCTTTCCAAGATTTAACCAATGCAACCATGGTCTCCAGAAGTGAGGAAATGCCCTCCCCTGTGGACCTGCTCTGGTTTTGGCATTCAGCTACCCCATCCATTCTGTTCTTCTTCCTGAGCTCCTCCACTGGGCCATGGGAAGAGTTATCAACCGCTGCCTGAACACCACAACTGAGGCTTGGGGAAATTTAGGACCTCAGCCCCATGGCCCAGAGCTGCTCCATGCCCTGGGAAGAGCAGGTAGTGTTCATTCGTGCTTTTAGGTGGACTTTTTGGAGAGGCAGGGAAAAGTGCATTGTTTCTGTGAATTTTAGCTTCCTGGCATGAGCTCAGATAAAGACAGGAATACCCTGGGGTAAAAATCATCGTGGCTATGGGCAGCAAAGGAGACACCTGAAAATGCCCATGGGGTCATTAAGTCATGCAGGTCGGCAGGGACCTCTACATGCCTCTGGTCCAACACCCTGCTCAAAGCAGGGTCAGCTGAGGCTGGGTTGCTCAGGGCCATGTCCTGCTGATGGGGATTTCACCATCTCCTGAGACATCCCCATTTCCACCTTTTTCTAAGCTGGAAAACTCCAGGTCGCCAGCAGCATCTCAGTGATGCCACCCTGAATATCCATACTACATCCATCCTCCCTTTAAGGGCCACTGGGATTTCCCTCCAAATAAATGGTTTCCAGACCCTGGAAAATCACTCCACTGATGTCCACCATAGCTTTCACAAAGGCAAAACCATGAGTTTCTCAAAATCTCCATTAGACTTTATTTAAAAGTTCTTTGTATAGACTTCCTGACACAGAATCCACAATAAAAATAAAATCCCCCTCCCCCCGGCTATCCCCTCCCCCCCAAATTGCTTTGCTTTGTATTTTATAAAACATACAACATCAGAAGAATGCCAGAGGCATCCTACACCACAATTTAAAAATTTGTTAACTGAGGCCTTGGTCCCAGCAGTGCATTTGCATTCGGAAACCTTGCTTCCTTTTCCTTGCTAGTTTGGTTGGCCACATATGTTACAAATGCATACAAGAGATCTAGTTTGAAATCTAATACAGCAAAAGAAGAAAAAATAAAAATAAAAAAAGGAAGAATGAAAAATTGAACCACTTGTTTATCAGCATTAGCTACTCTCTTAGACGAAGGCTTCCCCTGTAAAGTTATGCTCAGTTACGAAAATGATAAAAGCAAGCATGTAACAGTTGCAGTGAAATTATTGGGATTTTTTTTTGTCTCATTTTTACAGTGCCTTAGACAGGCAGACTGCCGGAATTGGAAAGAAAGGGTAATTTAGAGATGTGTTGAGAGACAATAACAATCTGCAATTAGGTAAATATTTGGTAATGTTGAAGCTATACAATATAACCCGGACACGTAGCACTCAGTCCACAAACAGTTTAGCACCATATTGATAGGTCATGCAGCAAAACACTTTCTTCAAGGTTTGCTTGGAAGTTAAAAGCATGAAATAGTGCAGTGCAAGGTAGTCTATACCCTTAGCTTCTATAGGGGTAAGGTGGCAATGGCTGATGCTCCTGGCTGTCTCAGAGGTATGTGTTGACAGGTCGCTGGCTCTATGTTCCTATTGTCGTCACCACACCGGGGTTGATGTTACCTGAAAAAGGTTTGATGGAGAAAATGAATATAAATGAGGTTGATCCATGCATGAGGAGCTGTGCAGAATATTGAGGGAGGATAAATGGAGTTCATTGATAGGACTTGCTGTGGAGTCCAGAGCACCGCAAGCAAGCTCACTACTGCCATGCACCAGACTGGAAATGCCAGGGACCTGGCTGGCCCCGTCTCCAGCCACGCGTATGCTGCTTACCAGGGGTGCAAACTTTTTCACATTCTTTCTGTGTGTTAAATCTGTTCTCGTTGCCTCCGCAGCCGCCGTACCAGAACCGGGCACAGCTCTTGGTCTCAGGGTCGTAGTACCATTTCAGCACAAAGTTCCTGCAGGTGCCCTCATCTTTTTGCAGCCGGCAGATATCCATGACTGAGGATAAAAGCAGGAGCAAGAAGAGTCAGCAGTAGCACTCCTGGGTGAAACACAGCCTCTCTGAATATATTTGCAGGGCAGAGAAATGCCTGTGAGCATGACTGGCATGCAAGCTCAGAAAGGGCAACCACAGCATAGACTTTGCATGGCTCCTGTGACTAAATCCCATCTCCTAGTTTGCAAAGAAAAGGTCTTTGGAGGTCGCCAGCCGTGATCCACAAGCCCTCGACCAGGTTGCAGTCATGCATCCACGGAGCAATGCTGAGATGAAGGAAGAGTGCTGCACAGCAGCAGTTGTCTGCAAATCCCCTGGATTTGCAGGAAATGGGTTGGCAGGCCTCAGAACTGGGAGAGGACTGGCTGGACTGGAAGTGAAAAAGTATTTGCACCATCATTTTCCCATTAAAAATACTGTCTTCCCTCAAAAAGAGATATCTTCTATGTGAAGATGCTCCTTGACCTACCATACACTGCCCCATGGCATTCTGCATCCCTTGCTGGGAAAGCAGGGAAGAAAATAAAGTATTTGGGTGTGTTAAAATGAAATTGCCAAATACATTTTAAAAAATAAAGTAAAAAAATCTGATATTAGCCACTAATTTAACATCAAGTCACAAACAAGGGATCACCTGCACAGAGGGAATGTGTGTTCAGCATGGCGTAATCATCAGTCATCATGGCTTTTCCTGGAAAAGCCTTGTCACCATATCCCTGATTCAGTCAGATCCCAAAAATTTCTTATATCACAGTCATTGCTTCCACTTACCAGCAGTACAGCTTCAAGGTGCTGGTTTCCAGCCTTGGGCAAGCATAAAAATCGTAAGTCATCAATCAAACAAGTATAATTAAAACAGCCAGCACTGAAAAATGAATGGGGGTGGGGGGAAGTCAGGTGGGCAAAATGTGGGCTTCCTCTTACTAGAGGAGTATTTGCAACCAGGACCTTTTTTTTCAACTAAAAAAGTTGGGTTTATGACAAATGCAAAGATAAATCAATATAAAGAGAACACCAGCAATGACTGCTGCGGAAATGCAGGTCTGGAAGTTATCTTCTGATAATCTCGTATTTGGATCGTGCCTTTTGTAAAACAGGTGCTAGAAATCAAGCTACTTACAGGACTTGTCTGAAGTTGTGGTTAACAGCCTCAAGCCTTTAGTACCCCCCCTTCCAAATCACACAGGGCCCTCAGAAACAGCTCTTTGCTAACAGCGAAGACGCCTGAAATAGCTGTAATCCTCAGGCTGCTCACATGAAGGCAGGATTTTGTGAGATCAAAAGATCAATGCTGGTAAAAAATAATTTTGTATTCACTTTTCTATGATTCTGCCTGTCCCAAGCAATAAGAAAAAGCAATCATCACTAATTGCAAGGGGCTGAGAGATCTTCCCAGGTCTCTGTCCTACCAGAAACAGAGCCCCAACATACCCACGAATGAATATAGGAAGGAGTATATACATATAGGGTAAATATATAAAAAGGTGCATTTTCCAGCAAGCTTCTTTGGGGTCTGGTGAGAGCAAAGACATACTAAACCCTTCTAAAGTTTTCAGGGGAAGAAGGGCACAAAAGATTATCCCAGAAATCCTGACTAGAAAGTAGGTCTGGCAACCGACCCCAGGCAATAAGAAAGCCCTGGCAGCGGTTTTACTTTAAAGGAAATTGCGGCTGGTGCTGGCGGCTGCCCAGAGCCCAGGAATGCTCCAGCAAGGCCGGGGTGCTCCTGGGGGAAAATGGAAGTGCCCAGACCAATATCAGGCATGCTTCTGGGCAGATCCTGCCAAACATCTAAACCCTTTCTGCCAGCTCACTTTGATTGCATTTTTCCCTCCGTGCCGTGAGCAATTGAACAGATCGCTGCCAGAACAATGCTGTGGTCAAAGGGTCAAACTCAAGTGGTCGGTGCTGCGGTCGTGACGGAGATTGGGTGGTTTGTTTGAGCAGTGGGTTTTCTGTTTAGATAGGAGGAGCTGGGAATATGTCCTTGCCAAGAGAGGAGACATGTCCGAAGGGACGATCCTGCCCATTATCCTGTTCTAGATGCAAATTTTTGAAGCAGGATTTCTTTTTTAATCTCCATTTTTCCTTGGAATTTGAAATCAATATTGACCTTCCAATTCAGCTTAGCTCTTGGGCTCCTACAGCCAAAAGCTTCCCTATGTCTTTGGCAGGCGCTTCGCCTTTTGTTATTCAGATTTTTTTTTTTTTTCAAAGTCCATCTCCCTTCTTCCCTGCCTTCCAAAGCACTGAAAGCCAGCAGATATGAACACAAGAATGACTACCCCAATCCCTGCACACCCTTTTGGGAATCCAGCCGGTAATCAAAGCATTCAGCTGATGGGAGGTATAACACCATTTTCCACTGCAACACGGGGTGCAGGCAGCCCAGCTTTCAGCCCCCTTCATCCCCTTTGAGAGTGGAAGCAGCCTTCAGGATCAGTGGATGCTCAAGGAAATTCAGCCAACACTTTAGAGGCAGATCTGGCTTCAGGAAAGCTGCTGAAACTTCACTTGAATTGTGATCTTCAGTTTGCCTGCCCTAATATTCACACCACAGGGGCTTGTGCCACTCTCCAGTTTCAGAGCACCGTCAGACACCATCTAGTAACTCCTCTGGATGAACCACTGGATAGCATTTTAACAAAAACCTTGTACCCTACCAAAAACCAAAAGCCCAAAACACAATAAATGAAACAAAAGCTTATCCAAAAATTTCAAAGAATTGATGGAGAGCAAGAACTAGGGAGCTAAAATGTGTTTTAAGCTGCAGCTGGCTCTGGCATGTTCAAAAGATGGGGACAGCCACTGTAAGCCAGAGTTTTAATTCATCCCGTGGAGAAAATGTACCTGGGCTCTTCAGTTGCACTTACAGTTAATTTTGTCATGGTAAATAAATAAACAAATATTTAAAAATTTGGTAATTAAAGGTTAGCACAGCATTTAAAAGGCCTCAAATGGGAGGGTGCTCCAGACCCATGTTTTTGCACCCAAAAAGCCCTGAGGTTTGGGAGACCAGTTCATTTCTCAGTGTTGCACCTCGCTCCAGTGCCTGGTGTGGGCTGGACTTGAGAGCCCAGCCCAACACTCATCATTTTGAAAGCTGAGCTGTGCATGAATTACTGTGTCTCTTTTTCCATGGTGGATTCAAGCTCTGGTTTTGCAGAAAATGAAAAGAGAATAAAGTGGTGAATAGAGCAGGAGACCCTGGCAGGGCAGGCACAGGCGCGAGCATCCCTCCAGGGCCCCTCAGTTGCTTTTCTTGACTATCTGCCCAGGGCAGAATGGCGCCAAGTTAATGAAATATCACTTCAGCCTGAACAACAGTTGCTGGAAACATCATCAAGGCATGTGATGATGATCAGAAGGGGCTGGTCTATGGGATGAGGCTAGCAGAAGCACGTGCCCTCTGGAGAAAAAACACATCAGGAAGGCTTCCCTGCTCTGTGAGGATGAAATCCTGGTCTAGATTGAAGCCACAGGTTTCTGCACAAGCTGCCCGCTTCTTCCTCTGCCTGAAAAGTCTTCAAGCTGCAGCCAACAGATCTTTGTCCATGGTGCTCGTTTACAGCCCAGAAGCACCTTGTAATCTCCTTTTGCAAGTAGCTGCCACCCCAGGCATCTCCATGGCTTGTGGTGGCCTCCTCCGTGCTTGCCTATGTGTTTCTGCAGGGGCACCCACAGCTGGACTCAGGCTGCTCCTCTGCCACTGACAAAAATTCCTGAGTCTGATTTAAGGAGCCAAAAATACACCTAAGAAAATAAAATGGGTGGGAGGGGCCTTTTCAAACCCTGTCATGCCCCTATGAGGATTAATCCCCTGCCATTAGGTGCCAGAACTAGCTTCACTCCTAGGTTTCCCTCCCATCTCTGCAAAGGCCCCTGAAACGCCACTAGAAGGGGCAGGCTGCTATGATAGCAAGGCTTTGCTGGGGCCAGGTTCCCATCCCAACCCCTTGAGGAACCAACACAGGTGATTGCAAGTCTCTACTTCCTTCCCAGGTCTTGAAGAGGTTTGCAAACACAACCCTTTAATCTCAGAAGCTCCTTGAAGGGAGAAGGTCATTGTTTTTTTCCTGTGGGCTCCTCCCTCACCTTTGATTTTTATCTTTTGGTGCAAAAGGAAAACATCTGCACGCAAGCCCCAAGCCCCGTGGAGTAATTTTCCATCAAGTGTTTTGGTTCCAGGCAGTAAAATGTTTGCAATTCTTTGCAGCTCAGCAAAGGCACACCGCTGAGTGGTGGCATTGGTTAGTCATGCAACGATAATAGAGACTGCTTTGGGACCGTGCCATGCGTCAGTCCAGCAATCCCACTTTTCTCATGAAATCCAGTGCAGGATTTTACCATATAGCTGTGGTTTGTACTCAGGTCATGCAAACACGTGTCCTGGTGTGACAACTTGCATGCAAGGTGACTTGCTCATGCAAAGCAGATGGTAGGGCATGGTCATGTCAAGGAGCAAATGAAAACCAAGTCTATACTACTGGTGATCTTGTATTGGAAAAGCTTGGATGCATGCTATGAAGTGGTCAAGGTGAAATAATGGATTTGCTTTGGTTTGTGATTATTTTTTTTTTGAGTGTTACCTGACGATAATCTTTTCTCAAGGGGTGGCTGCTGCATGGCTTTCTCAGCTGCTGCTGGAGGAAAAAGTGCGTGTGTTTGGATTTTAAACACTGTTTTCTCTCCGATCCAACCATTATTTGACAATATGATAAAATACAAAAGGATTACTCCCCACGTGGTACTTACATGGTTTTAAGCATTTGCTAATGCACTCAGCTTCGGCCTCAAATCTATTGGCATTACCACCACAGCCACCATACCAACCCTGGCTGCAGATCTTGTTTTTGTAGTCAAAGAACCACACAATCTGATAGTCCTTGCACTGCATGCCCATGTCAAAGTCCAGCAAGCAAGGGTCTGGCCAATCTGCATGTCAAAAGGTGCAAAGGTTAAGTGACTCTGAAAGGGTTAAAAGCTGAAAAAGCAAAGAGATTGAAAAGAAAAAAAAAAAAAAGAAAAAAAAGCCGGGTACAGGACTGGTGGCATTTCCTTGTCTCATGATTTCTCTTGCTGAATGCAAACCTCCAGCTTGCCTCTCCTTACTCTTGATTTCGTCGCACATCCAAGCTCCAAGTCCCTGGACCAAGGTGGTGGGAGCCCCTTACTCCCCACTGGCGCACGAAAGATCAGGCCCTCACACAACTCCCCCATCTATTTTCAAAGTTATTTGTCTTGGCAGTAACTTTTAAACCTTACGTGTGTTTATTTTATCTCTAAAGGCAAGCTGCACCTGGTAGACTTTAAGGCTTGATGCGGATTTAAACATATGTTCCTTTCCTGCCCAGAAACGATAATTTAGATCCAAATCCCAGAGTTTTTATTAGAAAAGATAGGCCATCCGTGCTAGCAGCTGCTTATCCTATATAAGGAGGCCAGAATCTGGGGCTTCCTCTGAGGTCTGTTGGAAGATTTACACATGGGTCTCTCCTGTTGCACAGAGAAGACTCGGCTAAACAACGCATCACAAATCCCCTGCCATGTTTAACATCTTTAGCCTGTTGAAAAACTTCAGATTGGCATCCTCGGGGAATGTTTCCCCAAATTGCTGGCTGCCATAAATCCTCAGGTAGAGATGTTTGAGTGGGTCAATAAGAGAAGCTAAGGCTGAGGTCTGCGTTGAAGCGCAGAGTGAGCACACAGCACATCCATTTTCCCTCGATCAGATGGACATACACAAGACTGCACACCTTGTTTCCAAAAGTCTGGAACACGAGGGGTTTAACAAAGCCACAGGGGTGTGTGTCACCTGGTGGGGACAAGAATGGGGATGCCTGTGCCAGGGAGGACCAAACGAGTGGGAACACATGGGAAGGGTGGGATGATGGGACATGCAGCAAGGCAGAAATGAGATGGTCCCTGCCCAGCACCAGCCCTCAGCCCCTCTGCTGCAGCAAGCTCTGGTGGTACCACCAGCCAGGCATGAGGTCCATGCTCACCCCTTTCAACGTGAGCAGCCAGACCCCAACAGCAGCTTTGCAGCTCTTGCTGCTGGCACAGTGCCTTCAGCCAACATCTCCCCATGCTCTCGAGTCTCCTCAGGAAGAAAGTGAGCCATAGTGCAAGCAAAAAGCTTAAAAAAAAACCCCAAAGAGTGAAAATTCAGGGATGAGGATTGGTTGCCAGATCCACAGCTGGTGCCTGCAACAGGGGTGTGCTGCTTTATGGAGGCTGCGAGTCCTCCCAGACCCGTGGAGGAAGGGTTGCAGCCTGGTACTTACAGTACAACTGAGTGTAATAGCGCTGATATAATTAGCTTGAATGTCAACAAAAGTAGTGAGATGACATATTAACATCTACAGTAATTAGGGGTTATTAACACAGGTTAATGGGATTAACAACAGAGTAGGATCTGACAGCTTTCTCATTTAGCAGTTTACTACATGGTTTACTACTACTTACTGGTGGCAGAGAAACTGGGTATGGGCAGATGGGTTAAACTGGAGGGAGGCTACCAATTAGCCAAATTTATGCAAATATTTGACACTAAATCCCTTGCAATCCCTGGCTGTTGGTCAAGTCCTTGTTGAGAGCTGAGTGTTAAATGAAGGGCCCAAAACCTATTCTTTGCCGCAAATGAGCAAGACTGCGAACAAGCATCAGGTGATGTTCTGCATTGACACCTGCACCTACAAGTCCCAGGGAGGTCATGGGGCACAGACTGTCCCTGGATAGCAACCATTGCTTGGGCCCTGGCTCATTTCCCATCCTTGTGCTGGAAACAGGACCTGGTTTGGGTCCCCAGTGAAGATCACAGCAACTTCAGGGGGCTCGGGATCCTGCATGGGGCAGAGACTCCAATACAGGACTCAGGTATACATGGATGAGGCTGTCATCTAGCTCATAATCTGCTGGCTCTGCAAAGCAAAGGACTCGCAGATCCTTTGGTCCTAGCAGGGCTTTGAGAAGGGCCAGGTTTGGGTTCAGGCAAGGGAAAGAATGGTGCTAACAGCCAAGCTCTCCGTGAGGGTCCTGGCAAAGTCCCCCAGCCCAGCACTCCCACCATCGCCCATACTCACCGCTCTCAGGCCCTTCCAGGGGCTCAGTGTTGAGCATCATGTTGGCCAGGGACACCTTGGGCTGTGCCGGGGTCTCTGGGGGAAAGAAGCAGTGGGGTCAGCCAAGGGGAACGGGATCTGCAGTGGCGCCCTCGGCACAGCCATAAACAAACTCACTGGCCCCAGCTCCAGTGCGGGGGACACACACAAGTCGCAGGAGTCAGGTCTGGATCTGTTTACCCTAGCACATACATTTCAGAAATGTTTATTGGAGGCAGCTGATGGGATGAGTAATCCATGACCGCCCAGCCGCACCGGGACGGGTTTGCCTTGCTCTCCTCAGCCAGCGGCTCTGCTGCACAGTCAGGCTCATCCTCGGTGGTGACTGTGAAGGAGCATCTCCAGGGCCCCCCACAAATGCTTTGGATGGCCCCTGCTCACCCCACAGCATATGACTGGGCAGGGGCTCTGGAGGAGTAAACATGGCCTCTCTGCAGCTAGTTTAGCTTTGCACCTCTGGCCTTAGGAGAGAGCAGAAAAAAAAAAAAGGCATCCTCCAGAGGAGCGAATAGTCCATGATGGATCTTCTCTTGCTCCCCTGCAGCCCTCAAGGGCTCTCTATGCATTGCACACCTCTCCTTGACCACACTCACAGCCTCACAGCCCTCTGAGAACAGTGTTGTTGAGGACTGTCACTGGGGTTGACAATCCTTTGTGACGGAAAGGAGAACATGGTTCATATTGCATCATGCCCTGCATGACTGCACCATATAGCATCATGCTCCTTTCCCAGGGCAACCTGTGGCTTACTTTCCATGGGGCTGGAGGGCAGAAGGGGGCTGCAGCCACAAGAAGAGTTGGATTTGCTTTTCTCTGGCGGAGGGTAAGAGGGACAATCTTACTCAGTGTCCACATCACAGCTTGTGGGCATAGGTGGCATCACTGCTGCCTGCCCAATTTGTTCCCATTTAAGATTTACTCTATGGGAAATGTAGCTTCCCTGGGTATTGAGAGCTCCAAGTCAGCAACATGCAAATGTTAATTCTACACACTGATGTCTTTTCTCAACATTTTTGTGGGCACATTTATTGCTTGGGAAGGTAAGAGATGTCAGACCTGAGCCAAACCCATCAGAGCCAATGGAAAGGCTCTCCATGGGCACTGAAATCAGCTCTAAAGTGCCAGAACAAGCCAGATGCAGCCCTGGCAGGACCAGCATAAACTTCTCCTCACCACCTCTATGCCAAACTTTATTAAACAAAGAAATGACTGTGTCTTAGCAACTTTTGGCCACACCAAAGGTTTTGGTGAGGTTTACGTGTGATCTGTACAGATGGGGCTTGGATCCCCAAAGGACTAAACCCTCTATTTAATCTCTTCTTTATGTTTTTTTGGAGGGATAATATAGCATGAGCAGCAGGCAGGTGGATATGGAAATGGCAATCAGAGAAACAGCTTTTCTTGCTTATTTTGCAATCAGGCTGGACTGAATTTATTCGGTGTTAACCCAGTTTGACTCTTACTATTAATTACAGCAATGCTGGCTGGACCCCACCAAAATCCATTGTGCAAAAGCCTCCTGCATGCACAATAAGACAGAGTCCCCCTCTGGGCCTGACTTTAATTCTCCCACAATCTGTGTTGGTTTAACACCACTGAAGTTTCAACTTGCATTTGCCAAAGAAACACATTCACAGCGTTTCATAACTGGCTCCTACTGCTGGTCCGGAGGATGCCAGAGACATGCAGTGACACAACTGAGCATTGCCAGGGCTGAGATCGTTGGTACCAACTGATTCCCTGACCCTTAAATGTTTGGGTTTTTTCATTTTTTTTGTGTCCACTTTATGAAAAAATAAATGTTTCTGTGTTTTCCTCAAGAGGTACTTACTTGTGCTGAATGTCCCTGTGTAGGTTACTTTGGGTTGGGATTTCTGGTAGCCGGTAATGACGACAAGGTATTTCTGTCCGCTTCTGAGTCCTCGGATGACGTGCTCAGTGCCGGTCAGGTTTTGCTTCTGCACGAGAGAGTGGTCATGTGCTAGGGTGACGGTGATATCAAAAATGTAGGCGTTGTGTGTCTCGGGGCTGGCCCAGCGCAGCCTGGCACTGTTCTCGGTGACATCTGTGATTTGGATATCGTGGGTCTTTGCTGCAATGCAAAATCAGAAGAAACACTAAGCAAGGACTTAAAGAGGAAAGGTGTCAAGACAAAAATGTTTCTGTGGTGCAGGGTCTCCTTCCTAGTCCACAGCAAATAAATTTTTCTGCAGCCAGCTGTGGCATGGGCAAACCAGATTGTGACTTTGCTATCTCAGATACCCAACTCAGCACACTGTAGGGAGGGTTTTTTTTTCCATAACCTAGATGATTTACCAAGTGGTTTATTTATTTTTTAATAATCTGCTGCAATCTAGCAAATCAAAGCAATTTTTTGTGAGATTTACATAGCTTGAAATGTGATTCCCAGCACAACTTTCCCAACAACTGTAAATGTGTCCAGTCAGATCCTTCTCTAGGGCGCAATGGATTCACTGAACTGATGAAGATCTTCAAGCAGAGCCTGCTTAAGACCAAACATAGACATGTCAAAGAAGCTATTAGGGAAATGTTTTCCTGCTATGGCAGAGTATTGGATGAGATCTTTATAAGCATTGCTTGGAAGCAACAGTGGAGCAAGAAACATGCAGAAATATTTGTTCTCCGCAAGCTGATGAAAGCATTAAGCTTGCAAAAGCTGATTGCTTTTATTTATTGATTATTTACATGGGGACATGCATTCATTGACTGGTTAAGCCTCCCTGTGCTTTGACATGTGTTCTTTGTTACTTGTTCAGCTAGTGCAGAGCTGCCTGCACTCCCTTGCAAAAACACAGGGGAAAACTCCTTTACATGAACCGTGCTGACATGAAAGAGCTTTAGCATTCCCAAATAGGTCTTCACACTGATCCAGTGAACTAACTGAACTATTTATATTAGCTGACAGAAAATGCAAACTATGTCATTGTATGAATCACCATAAATAGCAAAACTTAGCTGAGGGGTAATGCTACAAGGAAAACATAGAAAGCAAATGGGCCACACTAGAAAGAGAAGTGCTCTGTCACTGTACTACTGAGCTAGGCAGGAGATGATGAATTGTCCCATGTTTAGATGTCCTGCTTGTGTTTTGCCTGGAGGCAGTCTGTTCCTCACCCAGTTTTGCACAAAATTCTCAACACAGCCTTAAGCCTCAGTGCAGATTTCCAGTTTTGCACCTTAATTTCCAGTTTTGCACCTGCAAGCATGAAATTTGGCCTTTTAGTGACATTTCCCATAGGGAGGAAAAAAAGCTACAGCCCACTGTGGTATAGAGACGTGAGAGACATTGCTCACGTAGGGAGAGCCTTTCACATACCGCCTTGTCTTCTCCTGCCACCTGCCACGGCAGCTGTGGTGCTCGTGGTGGTGCGGCCAGTGGCTTTGGTGTGGGCGGCAGTGCTTGCTGCACTCTGCACGGTGGTGTTCACCTGGACCACGGTGCTGGCTGTGGTCTGGTCGGTGGCTCTGGTTTGGGCCGTGGTGCTGGCAGTTGTGGTCCTGGCACGGGCGTTGGTGCTCCCAACAGGCTTAGTGCTTGCACTGACTGTGGTGCTGACACTGAGGGTCCGGCTTATGGTCGCGTTGGGTGCCACGTACCTGTCAAAGCAAAAGCATCTGGTATGGCTTCCCGCTGCCCCCCATATAAGCAGAATTTTGGAATTGGAGAGGAGTTGATGTAGAAACCATTGGCAAGAACACCCCCCCCCTTTAGATCAATAGCCTTTGTCAGCTTTAGATATGCCCACAGCCAAGCAGTAAAAAGTGCTGCAGAGCACTGCCTGTCACTTGGCGCACAAGTCTGTCTGTACACCAACTTTACACACATAAGGGTGAATTCAGTAGACAGATCTGTAGCATGCCTGATTCCAAGGGGCTCGACCTTCTAATGCCAGGACAGCTCTGTGCTGTCATGAATGAGTCTTGGTCATACAAGCTTTCACTTCTGTTCAGAAAAATATTAGGATATATTCTGTGATGCATCCTGATTAGTAGATAGTCCAGGGCAGTTTGTTGAGTGGAAAACCCCAAATTAATAGTAATTTCTAGAATTCCTGACCCGCATGACAGTAGCATATACCTCCTTCATATAATTTATACATAGATAAATGCGAAATTTACTGGAAATCTAAAATTATATGGGAATTTGTCTACCCTTCTATATTAGATAGTTCTGTTGCTCTTTTGCCACAACACTAAAGGAACTGGTAACATGCTGATAATCCTGATTCTTATAATTGAAATTGCATTTTCTTACTTTTTTTTCCAAACAGGGACTTGGAAATGAATGCTTCTCCCCCAGACAGGCTGTTAGTAAAGTTCATTTTCTTGCAGACAAACCACTACTTACACTGCTTTGTGCCCGGGGTGCCCGGGAGTCTGGCTTTTGGCTTGCTGATCACTCTGGAACCACTCGCACTGTTTCCTTATTTCTGGAGACAGGTAGAAAGCAAAGTCGCCTAGAGACAGAGAGAGTCTGGCATTAAACATTGGTGTTGAGGATGGTGGCTACCTACCAACAATACATAACATATATTTCTCCTTGATTTAGAAAACCCTGTTCTTGCTTGCTCTGACAAAAGCTATGGATTATCTCTTGACATTTTCTGTGGTTATTGCAGCATCCCGGGCTGGGAGATTTGTTATTACAATTTACAAACATGAGAGCAGTAAATACAAGATACCAGAGGGCTATATGTCTTAGTCTGTCACATGTAAACAGCTTGCTTATAACAAGGCACTTCCAAGCACACAGTTAATATTTTTTCAAGAGTTAGAAGTTTCCAGGACCCCTGTAAGTGGTAAATGGAAAAAGCAAACTGAGAAAACCTAAACATTTATTTCCAGGGAAAGATGTGCTCATGTTTGCTTCCTATTTAGTGTAAGACATTCCTGAATCAGTGATTTTTTTAGCTCAGTAGACTGATTTTTCAGGACTCTTTTGATAAAACTAGCTTTTGTAGAAAAGGCTTATTTCTTGTCCTTGCTGACCAGGTCTGTTTAGGATCTCTGGCAGCTGGCTTTAGCTGGAGATCCAGCCTGGGGTCTCTAGCTAAGCCGAGATGCAAATTTTCAAGACACAATCAGCACATCCCAAACACAGCAGTATTATTTATCCCTGAGCAAATAATCCTGTTCATCTCGTCCTTAAATCTGCATACAGCAACTCCAAATCTCAGCCTGAGCCATCCAAATACCTGCTAAACATGATTATGCTGAAGTTGGGAAGAAACATTTGCTGGGTGTTTGGGGAGCTCGGGGGAGTGCTAGCAGGCTGCTGGGCTGCAGAGGGCCAAGAGCCCCAGCAGGACTAGACGCTATGAGACTAGATGACATGTTGCAGATGTGACCAGCAAGCCAGGCAGGATTATGTCTGATCCCACAGGCGAGCCCATGGGGATCAAGTCAAACCAGACAAAAGTATAGACTCTACTTGGCAGACCAACAGACTGCACGGGATGGCTGGGGAGGCCAAAGTGAAGAAAAAACAGACATATTCAACTAGGCAGACCTATGAGCAGCAACAAAACAGACCGAACAGTACAGAACATATAAAAAGACTAACAGTTCAGTGGGCCCCACTGCCCAAAGAGGTGGTCAGCCTAGAGCCTCCCCAGCCAACGGGCAGGAAGACCAAACCTGGCATATTAATCCCTCTGAGGTCACACGATGCCCCTTCCATAAGGCTTTAGATGCAGGGTGTTTTACTTACTTCTGATAAAAGATGGCAGCAGTCTCCCAAAGCGTAGTAAGGGCTCTTCATGAAGCTCTCCTGGTTTATCAATCAACTTGAAGAACACATCGTTTGGCTCACTAGCTAGGTTATAGATATTCTTGGCATTCACCTTCCTGCCAATGCCCAAAACAACAAAGAAGTACCCTTTGCATTTTGCATTGATAACAACCTTTTGCAGGTACTCAAGTTCTTGTTTATTCACTTTACCGGTCATCATCAGAACTATGACTTTTAGGTCCCGAGGGTTAGGTGCATTTTCAAAAATATGAGTTATTGTGTGTTCAATTGCACTTCCTATAGCCCTTGTGCCATGGAGCTGGATCATTTGGTTGTGAAGGTAATTAATGATCTTCTCTTTGGATCCATAATCAGTTAGTGAAAACTCAGTCTTTACTGGCGGGAAGCTTGAGTTGGTTTCATATTCGTAAGGAGCTTGCTGGAGAACTGCCACTCTTGCATGGTGCTGAGATACTTTTGGCTCAGAGCTGATTTCCAGGTTGCTTACGAGGTGGGAAATGTACTTCTTCATCTCATTGAACTGCAGAGGGGTGGTGGACTCTGAGCTATCCATGATGAAGGCGATGTCAGTGTCTACATCTGTTGGGGCTGCCCTTTTGTCTCTGAATACAGGTCTCTGACTACCAAAACCACAGATGGGATCAGGGTCACAGACATCTAGGGAAGAAATACAGTAGGTTTCACCTGGAGGAACTGAAAATGACCCTCCATTGTCATTATAAATTCTCTCATGTCATATGAAATACTACTATCAAGCCATGAACATTCACTGGTCCATTACTTAATACCAAAGTAATTCCATCCCAGAACACATTTAGTTTTGCATTAGTATTTTTATGCACTCCTTTATCCAAAGGGATCCCTCAAGCACTGTGTCATAAATGGCAGAAGGCCATATTTTAGAGCTCTTAGCTATTGGTATTTGGGCTGTGAAAATGGGAATTGGCCAAAAAAGAAGCTTCTCGTTGCAAAGTGGAGAACGCCCATGCTAAACAGCAAGCCTCATTCATGCCAATGTTTTGTGCTCAACCTAAGAATACAAATCCCTTGTCTTCAGCATCTGACTCCCAACTAGGCTTCCCTTCTGCACCACTGACAACCAACTGCTGCACAACCAGAAGGATTTGGCACTATCTAGAGGAGAAATTGGATGCCTTACCCAGACAAATGTGACAAGTCAAGAGCCTCCGGATAGTTTCATTCAGCTGACCGCCACTGGTTGGAAAAACAATTGCATGTCCAACCGCTGTGTTGTTGATCTGGTGAGATGCAAACAGAAAAACATGGTGTTAGTAATGCTGCCTTCTGTTATTTTCAGCTCAAAGTATGGGAGGGCAATCCAAAACTCTAAGGGATTCTCTACTCAGCATGCTGCTTTTTGTGGATCCCATTTGGAGGAGTCTAATGCCCCTGACATCAGTTAGTGGGACTAGTTTAGAGACATAAACTCCAAGTAAAGGGTCAAGCACTTGAACAAGTGCTCAGCATGTTCATCTGGGGTTTTTTTGTTGCTTTAAATCTCTGTACTTCCTCTCTCGCTGCCAACAGTACTTCTTATCGAGTGCACCCTCAGCAAGTTTGCAGATGACATCAAGCTGAGTGGTGCAGATGACATGCCTGAGGGATGGGATGCCATCCAGAGGGACCTGGACAAGCTCGAGAAGTAGGCCCGTGGGAACCTCATGAGGTCCAACAAGGCCAAGTGCAGGGTCCTGCACGTGGGTTAGGGCAACACATATTATCAATACAGGCTGGGGTATTGAGAGCAGCCTTGCTGAGAAGGACTTGGGGGTACTGCTGAATGAAAAGATGGACACGAGCCAACAATGTTTGCTCGCAGCCCAGAGGGCAAACCATATCCTGGGCTGCGTCAAAAGAAGCATGGCCAGCAGGTCAAGGGCGGTGATTCTGCCCCTCTACTCCATTCTGGTAAGACCCCACCTGGACTACTGCATCCAGCTCTGGAGCCCTCAGCACAGGAAAGACATGGACCTGCTGGAGTAAGTCCAGAGCAGGGCCACAAAAATTATCACAGGGATGGAGCTCCTCTCCTGAGGACAGGCTCAGAGTTGCGGTTATTCATCCTGGAGAAGAGAAGGCTCTGAGGAGACCTTATTGTGGCCTTTCAGTACTTAAAGTGCACTTATAAGAAAGATGGAAACAAACTTTTTAGCAAAGACTGTTGTGATAGGATAAGGGGTAATGGATTTAAACTAAAAGAGGGTAGATTTAGACTAGATACAATGGAGAAATTTTTTACAATGAGGGTGGTGAAACACTGAAACAGGTTGCCCAGAGAGGTGGTAGATGCCCCATCCTTGGAAACACTTGGGGGCTCTGAGCAACTTGATCTAGTTGAAGATGTCACTGCTCATTGCAGGGGGGTTTGAGTAGATGACCTTTAAAGATGCCTTCCAACCCAAACTATTCTACCATTCTACTTTCTCACCCTTTGCTTTTCTGTCTCAATCAGACCTTTCTTGCTATGAGGACTGTCTTTTCTTCTGTTTCATACCATACCTGGCACTTTGGGGACATGTTCTGGGAAGCAAATGACTCATTATAATAACCTCACTAGCATTTCACAGTATGCACTGTGTTTAGATTTCTCTCTTAATAGGCATGCTAGATGATTTTGGCCAGCAATGCTTTCTCAGTGCTAAGCATTTGAAAGGTCTGTGGAAGCCAACACCATCAATCTCCCCAGCAAAACAGACTAGGAAAGAAAAGGGAAATGACCCCAACCTCCAGCGCTCCAGTGAGAACTTGGTCCTGCCTGCTGGTGAGGAACACGGGCATGACCCCAGCATCGTAGAGTTTCAGTACAGCGTCGTTGAGCTGCGGGGAGGCTCTTGTGTCCCCGTTGCTGAAAAAGACAGCCACCTTCCTCATAAGGAAGCCACTTCGGGCACGCTTGAAGGTATTCCTGGCCACAAAGGACATGGCAGTCTCCAGGCTGCGTGGCTTTGTGGTCAGGGTCGCCTGGAAGTTTTGGATCTGCTGGAGGAGGCTCGATTTCTTCCTGGCGTCAGCAAAGCGGATCTCTGTGGTGACCTCATTGTTGTAGGTGACCAGAGCGACCCGGGCACCCCGAGGACAGTTGCTCTCAGCAATGGTTAAGTTGTTGACCACTCTCAGCACAGTTTGTTTCATCCTGTTGAAAACTTCCCTCACAACACCCGAGGAGGTGTCGATAGCGAAGGCCAGCTCAGTTGGGAAGACCGGGCACTCCTTGGGACCTGCCAGAAATGTGTGTTGGGAATAAATAGTGCCCCAAATACTTGTCAGGGTGCAAGGACCATGTCCTCAGTGGGGGTAAATCATTCATACCGCATATGTGGGGAGAGAAAAAATTCTGGCACATCATCACATTGGGATTTAAAGGACTGAAGATGACTTACCATAGCAGCAAGCTGTGGAAAAGATGGGGAAAAAAAGCAATTTGGTTAGTGCTGTTCATGTAACATGACAGGCGTACAAGGGTAGTGACAGGGAATTAGGAAAGCACTGATATACTCACGGCATTTGTCTTTGATGTTCCGCACAAGCGCACATTGCTTTAGGAAATAAAATGAAAGAGGTAGAGAAAGGGAAAAAAGAGATATGTGACACAGCCAACAAAAGAGTATTTCAAAACAAGAGAGAAATGATGCCACACTTACATCTCTGGATTCTCCTTTATCACCTTTAAGTCCCTGTTTAAAAAGTAAAGTAAAATTGAGTGTGATGTTTATTTTCAGGGTGCCCCATGAACCCAGTTGAAATAATTATTTAACTACGGGTCATGCAAAAGCTAAGGGGAAACCTGCCCATTTTCAGTTGTATTTTCAGCAACAGGGGGAAATGTTTTTCCCTGTGAGGAGTGAACCTAGATGAGACCAAACCCAAAAGGGGCATTTAGGATGCTCTAGGTTCATGTGCAAAGCAAGCCAATTCACCTTGGCCTTCCTAGGGTGCTCTGTGCCAGACAGATTTGGTCATGGACCGCATCCTGTGTAGGCTGATAAATCATAAAGAGCTGAGAACTTCCTAGAAGGAGCTTTAAGTGACATGCTGTCATGGGAAAGTCCTAGTGTCTGATAAAAGCCCGTCTCCTGACTTTTTCCTCCCGTTGTGCATTGCGGTTTGAGCGTGGGTGAATATTTATCAATGATAAACAGCTAATTAGGAATTTACAGAGACACATCCAAGACAAATAAAGAGGAATTTGCCCAACTTGAAATTAGCAGGAGATGGAGGTGGGCATGTCTTTCAACCCCTGGCACCAATAGGTACCATCACATTTCTCAGAGAGGCAATCAGGAGTCTCTCCAGGGAGGAAGCCAGAGGTTCCATCAGCAATGCAATGAATACTTACAGATGGTCCAGGGTATCCAACCTCTCCTTTCTGACCAGGTGTCCCAGGATCTCCTGCATTTCCCTAGAGAGAGAGAGAGCGCAAAAAAAATCCTCTCCATGAACATCTGCAAGAGGACTCCCAGGAGCATAGGTCAACACTTAGGTGGAAACGATGCACGCATCTTTCAAGCCATTCATGCAGAGGGGAAAAATTGTGTCATGGTCCAACTTACTCTGCGGCCTCTGTTTCCTTTAGGGCCAGGGCCTCCAGCACCACCGCGGTCACCAGGTCCACCCTAGTTGGGGAAAAACACAAACGGTAGCTCTAAATCTGCAGAGGACCATAGGTAATGGCTACGTTGCTTGGAAAATGAATGCATAGCTCACGGGCTGTACTGTACCTTAGGCCCTGGGTAGCCTATGAAGCCACGTTCTCCCTGAAACAACAGAAGGGTTTATATGAATACAGGGTTTTAGAAAACGAACCCGATTCTGCAGGCAGATCTGTAACAACTGAAGGAATTAAATGGAGGGAAAAAAGAGTGAGACTGCAAATTCATTTTGCAATTTTGTTCCTTGTATGATTAACAAAAAGCTAGCAGCTACTCTTTTTAAGGTCTGGTTGCTCTTCTAAGGCTGAGTTCAGCTGTAGAGGAACTATCAGAGTTGCTGGCATATTGTTTTCAAAGTCCCACAGACATTCATCAAGCTTTCTTGAAGGTACAAAAGGATTATACCGCCTTCTTGGAGAAGATGTTTTACATAGGCAAACCAAGACAAAGACAGAGGGGAAAGGTTTGAAGAGTCTTGCCTGATTTTCTCACAAGGGTACACAGAGGGCTGATTTTTGTCCCTGTATGTGTCTGACTTCACCCAGGCTCTGTCCTTTCCCATCTGCACTGGCTACTTCCTTGCCCTTGGTAACTCATGTTGGTAGATGGGCATGCTGAGCATACACTTACCTTTCTGCCTTTAGGACCTGGGCCACCAATTCCATCTCGTCCATCATCACCCTAAAATTGGAAAGCCAAAGTCATTAATATGCAGTCATATGTGAATAGCTTAAACCTCACGGACCTAGCAGCATCAATAGAGTGATGCCACAGGCCTTTGAGAAGTCCTTCTATAGATGAAATTATTGTAAGAAAAAAAAGCACAAAAAGTTGGTGCCAAAACTACAAATCTGAATTAAAACCTGCTTAGTGTACACATATAACGTGTAAAACCCAGGTGGAAGCCAGCAATGGGAAGCAGGTTAGGAGGTCAGCCAATGCTAGGGGTATACTTCTAGCTGTGTCTGACCCAAGCTTGCCCTCCCTTGCTTTGCGCAAACCCTTTTTTCCTCAGTTGTCACCTCATTATACAGAGTAATGAGAATCAGGCCCCACTTAGTCCATACGTCCTTTGTATAGGTTACTCTGGACTAGCACATGGGGTCAGCTCAGGGTGACTACCCATGCCTCATGCAATGAGCCAGGACAAGGCCAAGCAACTCTGAACAGCCTTTGCCCTGCAGACTGATCTCCAAGATGTTAAAAGTCACTTTTCAAGTGAATATAATTTACCTCCTCAAAGGGACTACCATTATCAACTATGCTCATGCCAGCTGAAGACATAAGGCTGATTTCCTTCTCTCATATTGTACATGGAAGATGCAAAGACCATAGGGGAGCTAAACTCTCCACTGTGAAGGGCTGTGGCCCATTTACCACAGGAGAGGATTCAGCCCAGCCTTCTTAAAGGTGTGAGTGCATGGCCACACTTACCATCTCTCCTCGTGGGCCCTGCTGTCCATTTGGTCCTTTGGGTCCAGGGTTTCCAGGCTCACCCTGAAAACAGGAGAATCTGTTAAAGCATGTGCTGAAACTCCAGGCCTTTTCCACCCCATCAGCACTGGTTTCTTTACATAGACTAGTCTGCAATGGTCCTTGTGGCAGAAAAGCATAGCTGGACCTATGTGGTCAGCAATACTACAAAATGCTTACTCTTTAGTGGGACCTTTAGCGATTTCAGGAAAGCCGAGCAATGGGACATGGGAGACCAGCCAGCTCCCGCCATGGGATGCTGTTTGGTTTTTATAATCACTGCAAAAATAAAAGCTCCCAAGCTCCGGGGATTTTGCTAGTGCAAATGGGCAGTGAAATAGCCATGGGAATGACCCAATGTGGGTGAATCTGGAGAGATCAAACCAGAGGATCTGGAGAGATCCAGCACAACCACCTTCCCATGTGGGCACCAGCTGAGAATCCACCCTGGAAAACTACTCAGGATTCTCAGTTACTCAGTTACTTTTGCCTCTTTGTTCAATAAAACCGGAGCCTAATGAAACAACAAGTGCACAGACCTTGCTCTACTCCACACTATGCAATCCAGTGAAGACAAGCTAATTTTGGTCCAAGAGGTTAATGTCCAGTATTCCTTTAAGCTCACTCCTATCCAGAAGCTTTTCATTGCTGTTTTAGTTGCTGATGCCCCATGCTTGTGAAGACATACCTTTCGTCCCAGGGGACCGATCCTGCCCCGCTCTCCTGGGGGTCCTGGTGGTCCACTACCAGCCTGGAACAGAAACAAAGAGAGGCACATTGGCAACTTGTCAATAAAACTGGGTGCTAGAAACTAGGGGATTGTTTGACAGTAGAAATCATGTATTAACTGCTAGGGCTGGTGCCTCTCAAAGCACCTTAAGAAATTCAGAAGTCACAGTTGGGAAGAGCTGAAGGACCAGTTCAGCTGAATACAAATATCAGCAGCAACCTGTATAGTCCCCTGAGGAACCCCCTGCGAAAGGTTTATGCAGGAGGGAAAAAGTCCTGATCAGGATGGGGAAATGCAAGGTGTGTCTGGCTTTACAGCCATAAGTCTTGCTGGAGTGGGCAGCAGGAGGGAGAAATACATGCATGAGGGGCCCCTAGCAAGCATGTGAGATGGTCATGCTCTGGCCTCAGAGGTTGAAACATCACAGAGGGTGCTCAGCCAGTCACTCAGGGATGTTCTTAAATTAAGATCACAAACCGTAATGGGCCAAACGCTGAAGTCCTGACCCCTGTGTGGCTGCTTTTAACTCTCAGTCCAGAACTTGAGAGGAGGATTGTACTCGAAAAGTGTGTTATAAGAGAATGAAACAGAGTTAGAGCCCTAGAGAAGGAAATGGGAAGACATATTGGTTGCATCTTATTAGCTCAGTGAGATGTTCTTGCTGAGCATAGTTGTGTCAATGGCTGAGAAACAGCAGAAGGGTTTACCCTGGGTCCAGGAATGACTGTGTCAAAGCACATGGGCAGAAGCACACCAGTGCTACACCAAGATTGCAAGGAGAAACAAACACTACAGCGCCCGAGAGATGGTTTTCAAACGTGTCTCAGCTCTGGTGGTGTGAATGGAATGGCAGGCTTGACGTCCTGGGGCAGGGCAGCCAGGCCACAAGCGCACCCAAAAATACCCAAATCCCAACAGTCCTCGCTGCCGAGACTCTTCAAGGGAGCAGCTGTGATGAAATAACGCAACAGCATCATGACATAAAAAGTTCACTTAGCCGTAAGCTCACTGACCTGTGGCCCTCTCATGCCTTGTTCTCCAGCTGGCCCTGCTTGACCGAGTGAGCCCTTGGTACCCTTTAAGTGCAAAATAGGACAACACAAGTTAGCATGGGGGGACATGGTCAACACCATGGTGAGGGAGAGGAGATTTCAGGGCATTTACAGCTGCATAAAGAGCAGGGAAGAAGAGTTATTTTAGGGAAGAACGGTTGTTTGAGGGTTTTTTTTCAGAATGTGGTTATAGCAGAGAATAAGCACAGAACTGGCAGGTTAATTTGCCGCCTACAATCAACAGACATCAATCTCCTTCGTGCTCTGGTCCCATTACGCTGCTCCAGCAGCATGCAGAGACAAAGCATCTGAGTAGGGACCGCTGAAGAGGATGGGCAGGCCAAGGCACATGAATGCCTGGTTTTGTCCAGCAAGGAGCACACAGGGACATGAGCCAGAGGAGGAGGAGGGAAATTTGAAGGAGAGAGGAGGCAGAGAGGAAGAAGCAAAGCATGTCTCTTCTCTTGGCACATCCCTCTAGGTGTTGTGGTTGCCTGGCCGGTGGCATGGTAGGAGCCCTGGGTGTTGTCTCCGTCACCACTTACCTTAACACCTATTGGTCCCCTTCGTCCTGTCATACCCTGCAAATGAAGAAACAATGAGACTTGTTATGCAAGTACGCAAGCACACATGTTACTCTATTGCTTTTAAGAACCATGTATCACCACTTCTCTTAGTCCAAAATTGCGTTTGAATAGTTTAAACTACTGGGGAGAGAGAAATCAACACTCCACCTTCTGCCGGATGGTCAGCTCTCGTAAATCAAACTTTGGCATGTTTTCTCCTTCCTTGCATCCCCCAACCCTCTGCACGGGTGAGTTGCTCACTCACGCATGCAGAAACATGCCACAGTCCCTGGGACACATGCCCTGAGGGGCTGGCAGCAGCGGAGCAGGAGGGAGAGCATCCCCAGACATCCCAGCTACACCAGCTCCAGTCCGATTTTTGCCTTTTAAAAAACAGCAGCTAAATGTAGATGCTAATGCCAGAGTAAACCAAGTGAAGTGCCCCTGATCTCAGCAGTTACTCTGGTGGGAATAAAATCAGGATTAGACCTTAAAAGTTTCTACAAGCCAGCAAACCACCAGGCATTTTGCTTTTTACTTTTTTTTCAATTTTTTTTTTTTTTTTTTAGGTTGAACTCCTGACTCTTGTAAAAGCAAAATACTTGTAAAGCAGGAGGCTAAACAGTTATTGTCAAGCTAAGCTCAGCTTTTGCTGATTAGGCATCTGGGAGCTCACCTTCCTCCCAACTCCACCGCCTTGTCCATCCACACCCACTGGTCCTGGCTCTCCCTAAGGGAAAAGCAAAACTCAAGTAAGGGCCCTGAGACAAGCAGGCACCAGGAAAATAGGTTAGGTTCTCAAAAAATGGGTCCTTTCACACTCTCACACAAGCTACTCGATATTCCCACATTAGTGGAAATCCTTCTAACAACTCATGGAGACTTTCCTTCACGTTTCCCAGCTAGCGCAAGCCAGCATTCCCATTCTTTGGGAAATGCCTTCTGACATTTTAAGATGCATTTTTATTCTGAACTAACATGGAAACAAATGGGTTTTGAAAATTTCCAAGGAGCACGTGTCATTTTTTTTTTCCCCGAAGTTTTCAGGTGAATCAGGACGTTCAGATTGGGTATCATCTAAACAGTTGTCTGCTTTTGACTATAAGCTTTAAGAAAACTGGAAGTTAATTTCAAGTACAAAGTTGTTTTCAGTGACAACTTCCCAAAATGAAATAATTTTAAAAAAAAGTAGCACACACTTTTTATACGAAATATCTTCTAAACTGACGTCTTCCCAGAGAAAGTTTTGGTTGCAAACCAACATTTTTTCAGTGGAAAAAATATCCTATCTGACAAGTCATGTTGAGTTTAAGAACTTGCACCTTTTTGGCAGCATCTTCTTTTCTTACTTTCTCTGTCCCATTCTATTGTAAAAACCAAAAAACAACAAAAGACAACAAAGAAACTTTACCATTGGTCCAATTTCACCCTTTTGGCCTCTGGTTCCCCGTTGAGTATTATCAGCTCCCGAATCTCCCTGAAAGCAATAAAGCAATGAGAAACATCTGTGTAAGTGGGACATGGAAGTCAGACATCATAAACTGCTCAGAACCAACATTTCTTTTCTTCTTTTCTTTTTTGACTGAATTACATGAAGTATTATTGGTGTTTTCAGACAGACGCAGCTTTTCAGCTGAGAAATAAAAGTATTGAAGAGGAGGAAGAAGGGAAAGTTTAATATTATGTAACAGTGATTGACAAGTTGGTATTAAGAGCGTGTGTTACCCCACATGTCTTCTCTTGCTCTGTCACTGGACCTGCCGCTGTCAAGTGACATGTAATAAGCCTGAGTGAATGCTTACTGATTACCCTCAGCACTGGTGGAAAGTGGGTGGAAAATCAAGAAGATGCCTTAGCAATATTTACCGGGTCTCCACGGAGCCCACGGTCACCTCGTTCTCCTCGTTCACCTTTAACTCCCTTATCACCCTGAGGGAAGAGACAGAGAGTTAGTGTGAGCTGCCCTTACTTGTTGAAAGCATCTCTGCTGCTGCACACCTTTGCCCAGGTCCTCGGCCCCGAGGCCAGTGTGATGGCTTTCCACTCTCTCCTGGCTAAAATCCACCTTTTCACCATCATTTAGCCCCATCGGAAACATGATAAAAACCTACCCTCCTGCCAGAGTATCCCTTCTCTCCAGAGGAGCCCGGCAAACCCTTGTCTCCCTAAAAAAGATAAATGTTTTAGAATATTTGACACTTTCAAGGTGCTTCTTAGATGCTTCACTGAAGCATTTTGTTATAAAGTGAAAAGCAATTAAAATGACCAACCTCTTCTCCATCAATGCCGTCCAGACCCATTTCTCCCAGTTCACCCTGCAGAAGAGAGGCAAGGGTCAAATGCTCACCAAGGGAAAGGGGAATGGGGAGGGGGATACCAATGCATCCATATGCTCATGCTCCCTGCTGTGGCATGTGGAAATAGCTCCATACCTTCTCTCCTGGGAATCCCCGAGAACCCTAAAGAGATCAGAAAAGGGAGTTACTCCACTTTTGCCCAGTTCATCACGGTAGGAAAGCAGTGGGGAAGGGGGGCTGTGCTTGGTAGCAGACCCAGAGCCAGGACCGGGGTAGGACAGCCACAGCTTGCTGTACCAGGGTTTGACTGTCCCATATTTCTCTTATGCCAATCTTCTTCTCCAGCTGCCTCCTCAACACTTGTGCCAAGACAAAATATGTGCATCATGGGGTTTAGCCAGCTGATCCAATAAAATAGCTTACTTAGCCACAACTCTTTCTCTACTGGCTTTCTTTTCTCCCTGGACCCATTTTTGTATGAATCCAGATCCAGTCTTGGTGCCTTTGTCCAAGGCTGGACAGCTTGTTAAAGAGGCTTGGTATCTCAGCTGCAACCAATGGGCTTGGTTCACGCACTCCTCTGCTCCCTGCCAGAGGATCCTGTGGTCAGAGCAAGTGGTAGGGAACATACCCTTAATATTGCTGAATATTTCCCATAAATATTATACGTTTCACCACCTTTTCTGGCTTGTGACATGGCTGCTGTCCTGAACCATTTGCTTAAGGTTCCTCTTTAAAGCAACAGCCATGGGTCACTTTTCTCCCTCCTCCCCACCAGCAAATTTCCATCCACGTGCCATCCCAGCTCTGGGTCAAGACACATGCACCCCACTTCTTCTTGTTAAGAACAAATCCATCTGTACTCACATCTTTCCCCTAGAGCCAGACTGCAGAAAATAAATCAACCTTGTCTGCAGATTGAGCCCGGGTTGCTGGGCTGCCCTTTTGCTCTTCACAGCAACGCTAAAGCCATGACACCTGCTGAAAGCCTTGGTGCTTGGCCAGGTGGACACCACCACTTGAGTGGACTTGGCAGCTGTTGTGTGACATTGTAAAGCAGCAGGAGTTGGTGAACTCTCACCAGCTGGACTCTGGGTCTGCTCCATGCAGGCTCCTTCCACACTTACCTTGGTTCCTCTGTGCCCAGGGCATCCCTGGAAACCCTGCGTCCCATTCACACCCGGTGGTCCACGCTCACCCTGTTGCATGGAGGGGAAAATGCAATGATTAGGGTTTGCCTGCTAAGCACATTTCTTCAGATAACTGCATGCATCAGCAAGTGCAGAAGGTGGCTAGGAAGCACAGGAGCAAATGGAGCATCAGGTTTTGAAAGGTCAATGCCTGCCTACCCCACTGTCTCCTGCCCACAACCTTCCTCATGTACAGACCAACCACAAGTCTTCATCACAGAGAGAGAATCCTCATCCTTCCCAAACTCTCAGCTATGAAAGAACTTTATAAAATTTCTTCAAAAGTAAAATGACAAGATGAAACCTCCAGAGCTCTGCATAGATGTCTAATCCCATTCTGACCTTAAAGCCCGAGGAAAACATTGCATTGCACATGATATCTGAGAGCAGCATTTGGTCCCTGCCTGTGCTATTGGAAAAGCCATGAGCACCGCCAGCCCCTTGGCCTTGTCTTCACCTCCTGGGTGTGATGTGTGGAGAGTTGTTTATTCCAGCGTGACGTGGGATTCATGAAGTAAGAGTTTGGATTAAACAGTCCTAGTAAGAAGTCATGGGACTCATGTTGTCTGCCACTGTGATGGACAGAAACACCCCTTCCTGGTCCTATTCTTGGACTAACTCAAATCTTTCAGCTGCATTTGGTATGGATAACTTTGGGATAGGCTGCAGCTTTAACGAAGTTGGCAAATTTATTTTGTTCATAATCAACCTGCCCTGCTTATAGGTGTTTGGGACCAGCTGAAAACATTCCTACCTGCCTTGGAGAAGTAGTACAGAGCTGGGTCACATCAAATAATGGGAGTTATTCCCCCTGTGATGTTTTCTTCAGCTCTGAAGCAGCTCCTTACTGACCTTCTCCCAGGAGCAGCTGGGACCAGTAACTCAGGCCACCAGGTCAGGGAAACACCAAGTTCTGCTTGCTCTCTTGTATAATCCATGCCCACATTCCCGGCAGAAAATATTTAGGGAAAAAGCCTCTAAATGCTTCACTACCATGAGGTCCTTAATTTGAGCAGTACCACACAGAGCAGGGGCAATCACTCACCGGTCCTCCTTCATCACCAGGATAGCCTCCGTAGCCAAGATCACCTGTGGCACCCTAGAAGACAACAGAGAGGATTCCGCATTTCTTTCATAGTTCTGAGGTGTCTTTCTAAATTGATATTCAAGATTTCCCTAGATTTGCACAAAGCAGCTGCTTAGTCATCTGTATAAACAAGTTAATGAGAGAAAACCCTTGACATCCCTAAATTGTTTCACAAGACACTTCACCCCCTCCTTCCACCCACTCATCCCTGCCCTCTTGGTTGTTTTACAAAACAGAGGCTGTGAGGAAGGGGAAGAAGAGCAGCTCTCAACTGCTGCGCACAGCCCAGGGCCAGTTTTAAAATGGCGGATAAGTGGAGATGACCTTTCTGTTAACATCACCCATTACAACTTACGCAGCCTGCACATCACCCACCCATCATGACCATGGTGGATGCTGACCTTGCACAGGGACCCTTCATCTCCAGATGAAGTGACCTACCTTTGGCCCTATGGGGCCCGGCACACCTCTGTCCCCTCTCTGCCCTGAGCACTTGCATGGGACCTTGCAGCATGTCCTCTCTGCGATGTTGTCCTACAACAAAATGCACACGAAACAATAGGAAGGTGTTAGAAACCTGGCAGAGCCCCAGTGCCATAACTCCTGCAAGCCCTAAAGTCTGTGCAATTGCTCCTGTGACAAGCATAACGTTGGTCCAGCAGCATTTTGGGGTCTCTCTGCCTTGAAACACCCATGATAGCAGGAGAAGGAGCTGTGTGTTGGCAGACTGGTTAGGTTGCAAGGTTAGAAAGCAGCAGTCAACACTACCTTTTGGACATCAGAGGCAAGGGTTTAAAGGGGAACTGTGGGGCACAGAATTTGTAGAAAGCATTTAGAAGAAGATCAGTCCCCAGAGCAGTGCCTGTCACTGAAGAGAGAAATCTCATCTCCAAAGAAACAAATCCAGGCTGTGGAATAGGCCACAAGAAAGTCATTGCAGCAACCCACAAGCTGAGAACAATTTGCAAGCACACAGCAAAAGAAGAAAAGGGAGGGGGGGAGGGGGGGGAAATGCATTCAGAGAAATCACAGCTTGGTTTTGCATCATCCAATAGAAAGAAAAGAATTTACTTTCTTTGCCAAGTACATTTCTGGCTGCAAATGTTTCCTGCCAGCTTTGCACATTTACATTTTGAAAGGATTTTCCTAGGCAACTGAATTACTTGGGGATGGGCTGAAGACTAGCCCTTATCCCCAAAACCAAAGTTCACTCCCAAGTGGCTGCACTTTGATTTGTGGAGAAGGGCCCAGCAAGGTTACCACAGGGATCAGTGGTTAAGTCCAATCTTATTAAATATACTGGAAAAGGAGCTTAACGATGCTGGTAGCAGATGTGAAGTTGGGAGAAACTGGACATACTGAGGTTGATTGCAAATTAACTCAACGAACTCAAGAGGGACTACATAGATGGGAGGGAAGTAAATCTATGAAGAAGAAAGGATAACTCTTTCATCTGTTAAAAGCATGTCTGGAATACTGTCAGTGTGTCAGCTTGAGGAAAGAAACCTAGAAAGCAGTGCTTCTGCAAGAGATTTAGCACTGAAAGGCATGACAGTGCATTACCCATAAGGTTAAAAAAAACCAACAGTATAAATATAGGCAGAGGGTGGGCTTTTTGGCATGGCAGGTTTTGATGGCATCTTATCCCATCCCATTTGACCTAATCCCATGCGCTGTAGCCTTAGCTGGAGTAGGCCTTTTCCAGGAGCAGTACGAGACCAGGCAGCACCATGATCTGCTTTTAACTTTATTTGCTGTGGCATCTGTAAAAAGAGCTGACGTAAAATAGGGAGGGGAGAGGACCAGAGCCAAGAGGGTGTAATTCAGCCACAGTTGAGCCCTGCAGGAGATCCAGCTGTCGGCTTTCTTCCAGCATTACAAGACAGCACTGCCTGTGCCAAGTTACTTACAAGCTGCTCTGCCAGCTCGAAATCCAAGTCCAGCAGATTAACTCTGAGCGGTCTGTTGTAGGTGAACCCACGACCAAACTCTAGCTGCATCACTTTGTCATAATCGCTCACTCGGTCCAGCCCAACGAAGATGAGAGCGTTGACACCTGAGAGGGGGGGGAAGCAGAAGGGGCTGTGTGATGGGGCGAGATGCTCTGCAGAGCCTGAACACCCTTCCCTGTAAGGATGGGTCATTATCTGCCTCTTCGATTGAAAATAGAGCTTGTTCAATGGAGAACAAGCAACTTCAAGCTCATTCAGTGCAAGTTACCCACATGCTTAGGTGCCAGCAGGTAGCTAAATATCACAGGAAGGCAACAAAGAACAACAAGTGAATGTAGAAATCATGAATTTCTTATTCATTACTATCAAAAGCTGGTGGATTGATGGTGGTAAAATGGGCCACATGTTAACACAGACTATAATCACTGCCTTGAGAAAAAAAATTACCTTCTGTATGCAAAGCAGACGAAGCAGCCTCCAGCTGGTCTATGGAGTCATCTGCACCATCAGTAAAATGGATTATGACCTGGGAGAGAAACAAATTTATGCCAGGACCCAGAATATTTCAGGTGTGAAATGCAATCAATGTGCAACCTGCAGGGCCTTCTTCCAAGGGACGTTTCATCTGAGAGGAGATGGCGGAATTGCTACACCCTTTCCAGGCCACAAAGCTTTGCATTTCTGTGCCAGACAATGGTACATCGTAACATGCAGGTTCCTAAAGCACGAACAGGGAAAATCTAGAAAGCAATCATTTTCAGCCAAGCAGTCCTCATGGCTACTGGCTGCAATACATTTATTTATTTAATTAATTTTATTATGAATTTACAGTTGCTTTGCCAACTAAAATACACCGGAATTCAGCTTTCCTGGCCAAAACCATGCCAGCGGCCTTGCTTTTGACTTACCTTGGTGCTGCCAGAGGGCGCTGATCTGAATTTGTTCAGGTAGGAAGTCAGTGTATCTGCTGTGAGAAAATAGGGCCCACGGGTGCGCATGCCTTGAAACCTCTCAAAGAGCTCAGGCTGGTACTCGGAGAAGTCCAGTCCCTCCACGGGTCCCCCCCGAGCCTGGGCCATGATGGATACCCTGACGTTGGGTGCCTGGTTGCCGGTGCAGCTGATCTTCTGCAACTGTGTTATTCTGTTAAGCACGGACTCAACTCTGGACTCCAGACCTCTCTGGGAATTAAATATATTTTGGCCAGGCTCAACATCCGTGACATCGAAGCCAAGTATCACATCTAAGTCACAATCTGAAAGGGAAATGCAGAAAGAGAGAAGAGGAGAGCATCACTGTTGAGCAATACAACTGTTGCTTTTCAAGTAATGACTTTCCTAGTTATTCTATTAGTCGTTAAGAGAAGACACTCTCTGCATCAAAAACTACCACCATTTGATACACAAGTGCCTCAGGCTTCCGTTCATCATAGCAATGATAACCTGGGAAAATCTGCATTTTATGAATTTTAATTTCTTTTTTCCTGTGTAATTGCTGCTTAGCATTGGGATGAGACTACTAAACCAAGTCTAACAGGATTTTGCATTTTCATCAGGCAGCCAACACTACTGCTTTCTCTCCACTGCATGAAATCTGTCAGTACTTGCACCATGTTCATGTACCTTCTGCCTGTACTTGAAGCAACTGTCCTCCAGGCAGGAGGATGTAACATCTCCTGTGCCTACATGGGCTTTCAAGCATGGAGGTACTTGAAATGTCTTTGATACTAATCACACTGGTGCTGCACTTGAGAAGGATTCATGGTTACCATCAGGAGCAGTTTGCTTTTCTCTGCAGTTAGTTTTTCATCACGGCTGGAGCTGCTGCTCAGCTCAGGGCAGCTGTGGCTCTCCTTCAGCTTCTCCAGAGGTTTGGGAGATGCCTCTGCTCAAAAGCTAGAGGGCTGAGCCATGGTTTGTTGTGCTGGGAGTAGGATTTGCCATAGTGTAGTAAGTTAAACCAGCTGCAGGGATTTTGGCCGGACAGCAATACCAGCTAGCTTACTCACCTCAACTCCCCTTGTTTGGCTTCTGAAATAGCCAAATCTTGGGATTCCTTCTTAAGGCAATTTTACCTTAAAATACAACCACTCATGCCCTATCTTTTTCTCATATACCTGTCACGAAATCAAGTGGGCACCCTGAATGATCTGGCAAGAGAAATTCTCATTTCCATCACATCATGCATACCAGGGACTAAACAGCCATGGAGTCCAATTAACTTGTTATAAAGGTAGCAGGCAAAAGAAGGACCATCACTTTTTGTTTTGGCACTAAACAAGTTGGTCTGCCAACATGCCACTGGCATCATGTGACTATGCATCTGGAGATGAAGGTAGTGAGACTTAGTCCAAAGGACCCCCTGTGATGTGAAAGTAGGTCAGTTATTTAGTGCCTGCCTGTCATATCTGAAATTCTTCCACCACAATGGCACCTCTGTGGTGATGGTACACCAGTTGTTCACATGCTGATGCACACCAACAGGCATCTCTCATACCAGAGGCTTGCAGCCTACCACCAGGCTCATGGAGGAAGTCTGGCCCCATGCTACACCTCAGACTATAGGCAAAGCACAAGAGTGGGCTGGATGAGTCCATCAAAATGCATTGGATAATAAAAGCCACCCTTGGGAATAACCTGAGCACATTATGAAAGGATCATGCTTACCTCTTGTAACATCTGTTGTTCCTGGGCACAATTTCTCTTCCATAGCGGCTTCCAGTGTAACCAGGACCTGCTCATTCAGCTCAGACAGCTCCTGAGCTGTGGACGTTCTGAAACTCATGGCGCTCTCGCTGGCCAGCCTGCTGACTTCCTTCAGGTCGATGTTTCTCACACCAACTGCAAATACCTTGACGCCTTTCTGTGTGATTTCCAAGGAGGCACTTGGCCCGTCGTCCGAGGACTTCCCACCCGTGACAATGAAGGCGATCTGGGGCACCCTCTGGTCAATTCGGCTGCCGGCCTCCTTCACAAAGTGTTTTGCCTGGATGTGCTTGATGGCTGCACCAGTGTTTGCCACTCGGCCGCCTTTGTAGATGACTTTGTTGATGGCATCTAAAATCTGCGGTTTGGTGGAATAGTCCTTGAGGAAGAACTCATCGGTGACATCTGAGTTGTACTGGGCCAGTCCTACCTGGATAGAGTCGCCATCCCTATAAATGGCATCCACCACAGAGTAGACAAACTGGAGAACTTCTTGGAAGTTATCTCTCCCCAGATTGATGGAGCCATCCAGCAAAAACACAATGTCAGCCTGCTTTTTACCTCCTGGAAAGATTGCAAAGAAACACAGTTATTAATAATTGTTTGTGGCATCTATATTATTTAAGAAGCTTATTGCAGTAGTGTTGTGCTTCTCTCTTCTCTCTACCTTTTTTGTTTCATTGGTCTTTGGCATGCTTTACATCCATACAAGAAGGAAGGTTTTATACCGCACATTTATTACACTTCATACGTTACTTGTTTTTGTGATAGGCACTCTCATCTCATTTCAAATTTAATTCTATTCTTTCCTATGCTCAACAAGATCTTCAGTCTTCTTTAAAGCAATGTGACTAAATGGTTGGGAATCAAAAGGTGTTATTACGCAATCATTTCATATTAGACAAATTCTATCTGTGCTCTGTCCAGAAAAGTCTACAGCAGTCTTACCAGGTCCTAAAAATCCAGGAGTTTCTGTTGTAGGTATCGGAAGCTCTTCGAGAATACTCTGCACCTTCTTTTCTAAAGTTGGGAGTCCTGTGAAGTCCCGTACCACAAGCACACGCTCAGGGTCATTGGTAATGACCTGCAGCTGGCCCCTGTCCACATTCCTGGCTCCAACACCCAGAGGTTTAATGCTTGTTGAAGAGATCACGTTAGCAGGCCTGTTGACGTCATCCTGCGACCGGTCTCCAAGGATGAGGACTAGGTGCTGGGGCACTCCATCTTCTATCCTGCTCCCCGCAGACTTGATGAAGTAATTCTTCACCACATAGTCTAGGGCTTTGCCAGCATTCACAGGGGACCCCCCTCTAAGCCTCAAGCGGCGGATGGCTTGAAGGACAGCATTTTTGGACTTGTGGGTCTTCAAGTAGAACTCAGGGAAGACATTGTTGCTGAACTGCACCACGCCGATTCGCACTTTGTTTGGCCCAACTTCCAGCTGCTGAACAATTCTGCTGATGAAATCCCGAATGTGAGCAAGTCCATCGGGCCTAACACTGTCAGAGCTGTCAATAAGGAAGACTATGTCTTTTTCTTCACCAGAAACATCTGCAGGGAAGCAAGGACAGAGGAAATTACTTGTGTATCAAGTCTCTGCTTAAGCTTTGCTGGAGGATTTCTGTGCTATCTGCTCTCGTGTGATGTAAAATTGCATGGCATATTTTAGCCAACTTTAGGCATGGTGCTACAGGGAGCCTTTCCAGATGGGTTTGTGTGCAAGTGTGCATGCATGTGTTAGCAGTCTGCCTAATATTCAAAGCATGCATTACTCAGAGCCTTATCCGTTTCATTCATTAACAGTCTTCTCTAGATTTGTCAATTTTTCCAGCTTCATTTAGCCCCAGATTTATGTCTCTTTCCTAGAGAGCTGCTAAATGGGAATAGATGGTATTTGACTTGAAAATCAAAATATGTAACGTATGTAGGTACCTGACTTGAAAATCAAAAAGCTGTAATCTACTTAGGTACTTGGGTAGAATTTCCACATATCTGAAAGTTTCCTTCTAAAACTGTACATGTGCAACACCTTTGCTTTTAACTAAGGAAAACCTCAGTTTAGAGAGAAAGGATGGAAAGTTATTTACACATTTGGGCAACATTTACTTGAATAGCAACACAGAGGCAGCTGGTATTGACAGAGCCTTACCTATAGGGGGTTGCACATCTCCCAGCAGCTGTCTTATTTGGTCCACAGTCAGGGTTTCAATAGGAGTCAGCAGCTTCTGCTCGAGGCTGGGCAGTTCCTGGAAGCTGGAGACTTGGAACACATAATCAGGACTAAGGGAAATCTGTACCATCTCCTCAGGTTCCACGTTCTTTGCTACCACCATGGGTGCCACCCCCACTTGTTTAACTTGGAGTGATGGGTACTCTAAGTCATCATCGGACTTGCGGGAGGAGAGGATGACCAAAAACTGAGGGACACCCTCCTCTATGCGGCTCCCGGAGGGCCGGGTGAAGATGGTCTTTGCCACAAACTCAAGGGCCTCCCCCACGTTCACCTGCTGACCACCCTGTGGCCGCAGCCGTCTCACAGCACTCTGCACCTCATCCTTGGTGGAGTGGGCATTGAGCAGGAACTCCACGTGGGGATGCTCGCTGAACTGGACCACTGATATCCTGGTGGTATCAAAACCCACGTCCAGGTTGTTCACTATCCTCTCAATGAGATCGCGGACAAGGTAGAACTCCTGGGCAGCATAGCGGGAGCCATCAACCATGAACACGACATCTCTTTTCACACCCGCTGCAGGAAAGAAGGCAGCAGTTAGAGGTTGCATCAGGCATTGTTTATGGAGAGCAGCTAAGCTCATCATCTACTTCACTGGCCCATGCTTTTTGCCATGGGGAGGATGTTTATTGTTTCATTGCCCGTGATATCTTCTGGGACCCCAGCAGGCAGCTCTGTGTTCAACCCAGAGACAGGACCAGTCTGCTAGGCACACCCCCAGGCAGTGGGGCAGGCAGCAACTTCCAGAGCGAAGGAAGCAATAGGGAGTAGGGAAAACCTGGAACAGTAATTCCTTGTGGGCTCTCCACCCAAGGAAACGTAGCCTGGTGATACTCCTTACTCAGGGCAGGTTGTCAGACAGCCTTGGGTTGTTTTACACTCAGTACCACCCCTCTTTCCTTGGCTTTGTCCTCTAGGACAGCTTCTACCCTATTATTCTCACAGATTCTGCCTTTCCAGGATGACTTTTTGCTTCCTAACAAAGTGCTTTCTGCAGTGGTAATGCAGGTCAGAGCCTGAATTATTGCTGAATATCGCACTGATAAATGAGGATGTAGGAAAGCAGTCTCACTGTGAAGGAAAGGAACAGATAGAGTAGGATGGTGGACTTCAAAGGGACTGATCTAGGGCGGGTATCTTTCACCCCAGGCATACTCTGGCTGGATTTCATTCCAAGCGAGACCAGAAATGGAAGATATGAACTTTTTCCTGATGCCCAGTTCCAGTTTCCCTTCCCCCAGTGAAGGAGCATGGCAAATGTAAGACACATCAATAGGTCTTACATTTAGCAGGAAGCTGACCTTGATTTGTAGTGGTCTTAAAGCTGTATCACCAAAATGATGCAATTTCCATTCCGGAAGGACTAGCATAGATTTGAAATCTATCAATTTGAAATAAGATTAGGGCCATAGCATTCACTTTGTGGGTCTTCCATGCAGATACAACATGGACCACCTTGAGGGATGGCCTTAAAGGTGTCTCAGCTGAATTACACAGCTCCTACCAACCCTAAGAACATTAAAAAAATATATATCGACAGTGAGACCAAGATGGACTTGGAGTCTTAGCCATGACCATTTTTGCTTTTCTCAGTTTGTGTTGCAACCATGATGTTACTAAACATCATATTTTGCCGCTGACTTTCGGTGCAGACACAAACATCTTCTCACCTGGGCTGGGTGATGTAAAAACCAGATCAGGGGCAAGTGACTCTATCTCTTTCTTGGTCAGCCTGATGACTCGGTTCGAGACGACCTGCTGCACCGTATCCAGCTGGTTGAAGTCAGGCACAGAGATAGCAAAATCTGGGAGGAAAGAAATCGTCTGCAGCTCTGTGAGGTCAGCATTTCCAATCCCAATGCCAAATGGCACTGTGCCACTTGTCTTCAGGACCACCGAGGGCCTCCTCACATCATCCTGGGACCGGTCAGCGGTCAGCAGAATCAGGAACTGCGGGACGCCCTCTGCTATCCTGCTGCCACTTGACACTGTGAACACATTCTTGATGAGATAGTCCAGGGCTGCTCCAGTGTTCAGAGGAGATCCTCCCATAACCTTCAGCTCCTGGATTGCATTGATCAGATCTGCCTTGTCTTCGTGGGTGTCAAGTAAGAACTCGGGTTGTATGACATTGCTGTACTGCGCAACAGCGACACGGACCTTGTCACGACCGATATCCAGGCTTTCAACAACCCTTTGGACAAAGGTCTTCAGTAGAGGGAAGCCTCTTCTGACACCATCTGAGCCATCGATTAGAAACACCACATCCTTCTTCTCACCTCTCTCAACTACTGTTTGAGACAAGCAAGGGTAGGGGGGAATAAGTGAGATTCTCTTTTGTAGTGATTACTATTCTCCGCATACATTGAACCAAAGGAGTACAAAGCTGGGGGAGGGGTTAGCGAGGTGTGAGAGCAGGTGATTCGGTTCCTTTGCCATTGGATGCAATCCCTGGTGAAGAGGCAGATGGGTGCAAATCAGTAGTAATGGCAGTGCAACACGTGCTGTGCCTTACCCACCGAGTCATAGAATCATAGACCCATAGGATATAGGGTGGCAAGGGACTCTGGGTGCCATCCCCTACCTGAGGCTGGGAGAAGCCATCTGCTCCCAAGGGGGCTGGGAAGCTGGCTTTGCAATATGCCACAGGAGTCTGGTGGCATCAAGGATCTGTTGCTTCCAGAGAAAACTGAGTTTCTGAAGGAAATGGCATACTGCAGAGAGGGTGCTCACAGGGAGCTGGTGAAGACAGAGAGAAAAGCTTTTCTGAGTCATCACTGAACTTAGAAATAAATAGTCCTGCACATGCTCAGACAAAATAAGAATTTGCTGGAAGGCACATCCAACCAAAAAATGCTGAAATGCTTTCCTAAAATGCTAGACACCGATTTAATATTTCTTTTCTAACTTCAAGCACAAAAAAAAAAAAAAAGAAAAAAGCTAATCGTGACCAAAGATTCTGTTTTTAAAAAAACAAGACTGTGAAAGGTCAAAGGTCAGGGAACTGTTGACACGTTCTGCTTTGACTAACAGAATTGCAAAGCTTTCCCTCAGCCAAGCAGAAAACATCTCTGCCTCTCAAACACAGCAACTGATGGATGGCATCCCCAAAAGTGCAGTTGGCTTATTTATGGCAGGGTCAAGTGTGACAAGCAGGAGCATGATCTGTCCCTCTGAAGAAAATCTTAAATATCTGCTTATGAGTGCTAGACATACAAAGAATTAACAGGGGCAGTTGAAGTCTTAATGTAGACTTCAGATCAAGTTTACTTTTTGAGAAGAATGTTGGAAAGTTGGTGGGTTAATGCATAGTACTGGAATATTAATACAGCTTGTTGAACAATACAGGTAGGAGGAGGGAGCACACATTGCCCGGTGTATCCCAGTTTTATACGTTTCCTCTGAAGTTCAGGAGCAGGGGAAGAGAGTCCTAACAAAGGTGTCTAGGTAGCAGATATAGAAGAAAAGAATACAGGTACTTTTATGAGGTGGCTCTCTTTTAGCCAAGAATACTAGAAAATGCAGGTCGATGCAGCCATTTGTGAGCAATTAGCACAATTATTCACAGTACTTGGTGGTCAAAGGGATTCAAAATTATCTTAACAAGACAGAAATGGTTTTAAAAGAGAGGACGTAATTCAAGAGCACTAGTTGTACTAGTCTGTTGAGGCAGAAGCTGCACAGATATAGGAAGGGCAATGACTCCACAAGGAAAGGATGGGATAAGAGATGACCAGGGGACACCATCGTTACACTCTGGTCATTTAGAGCACCCTGACTTTGGAGAGACAATGGTGAAAAGGTAGAAAACCTGCAAGACCTACAAGGAAAGATTGAATGGACTGGATACACAGCTGATGACACAAGGACCATGACAAGACGTACATGGCAAGATAAAAGTGAAGGAACGGCTATCACACAAAACACAGGAAAGAGCTAACATCTGTATCCTTGAGTTGAAAGAAGTATAAAAGGCTTAAATTATGACTGGGAAGGCAAAGGTTTGTCATTAAAGGGAACTACCTACAGATAAGGATAAAAGCAATTGCACAGATTGATTATGGAGGCTGGGGAAATCTCCTCCATGGGAGGATTTTCAGAAAAGAATAGACCAATGTCAGCTGCTTCTGGACAAGAAGATCCTGTTGGGGACAAGAGTATGTAGTAGATGGCACCCTGAGATCCCTTTCAGCCCTATTTCTTTTTATGTTTCTATGATTCTAAGTCCATCTGCCCAGGACTTTTACAGAGAGATGACATGGATGTTATTACACTTTTCCATGACCCCACCTACTGTTGGGAGACAGGTTAATTCTCAAATTATGGCTACCTCAGGAAACCACACAGCTGGAGGTGTGTAAGTTCCAATACCGAAGTGTCGATTTATAATTGTGGCCATGTAATTATTTTTTAAAATGTTTTTCTATCATTTAATTAATCCATACTCATTCCTGAGCTTGTAATGATATGTGATTCAAGAGCATCTAATTTATTGGTGCCTAGGTACAAAATGTAGAAACTGCTGTCATAGCCCATAGGAAATAATGGAGCAAGAGTGAATCCAGCACGCTGCAGTGCTCCTTACTCCCTACCACTCCTCCAGAGAAGGGAGGATGGAAAGAGAAATCAATACAAGCCTTTACTTGCTTCTTCTAGCCTTTGCCCAGCATTAGACATCAATTTTTGCAAGTTCTCTGCACCAATTACCCTCTTATTTCAGGTTTGTACCATGTTTTACACACTGGTAACAGCACCTACTGCAGACCTTGCAGCCAAACAGAAGGCTTTTTCCTTATTCATCTTTAAAATTCAGTTTGGACCTTAATGCTTTGCTGGATCAGGGTCTGACCAGAGGAAAATCCAAGTACAATGCAGTTTCTACATAATTGTTTTAAACATCACCAGACCTAATTGCCCCAGTTACCAAATTGAAAGTGGCATATAAGATGTGTCTTTCAGCCTTTTGGAAACCCAGGGGGTCCCTGTACCTGTTGGCTGAAGCTGGATTGTTTTCAACAGGTTGACTATGTTTGGCTGAAGCTCTGAAATCCGAGGGAGGGAGTCGACGTTCAGAATGAATTGTGGGGCATAAACTATCCTTTCCAGCTCTACAGGGTCGGCATTTTTGGCTTTGATAGCAAAGGTCACAACACCGGCTTGCTTCAGAGCATCTGATGGTTGCTCCACATCATCGGTTGATCTCCCAGCAGCAAGGACGACCAAAAACTGAGGAACCCCTTCTTCAATCCTGCTTCCAGCTTCCTTCACAAACAGCCTCCTTATAGCTTCATCTAGCGCAGCTCCAATGTTCAGTTGCTTCCCAGTTTTTATCTTCATCCTTTTCACTTTCAGAAGCATGTCTTGCTTAGACGGGAGTTCAGCAAAGTCAAATTCAACTTGGATGGTGTCACTGAATTGAGCTACAGCTACTCGTGTGGCATCAGGACCCACGTTCAGGTCAGAAATGACTTTGTGTACAAAGTCGCGGACAGCAGGAAAGCTACCCAAGAGGTTGGCTGAGCCATCAATCAGGAATAAAATATCTTTCTTGCTTTCTAGAATAAATTCACAAATGAAAAGAGGGGGAAAAAAAAAAAAAGATGTGAAGGCATTTTTCTTCTTAAACATCATCCTAGAAACTTCTCTGCAAATTAGCTGGGTTTCAATATGCAAAGCAAGTGATTTTCATTTACCAAAGTATTCAAAGGCTACAGGACTGAACAGTACCTTTGACTTATTTATCTGAGGAATAAAGGGAAGCAAGGACACCTCTCTCCTAGGAGTCAATAAATTCAGGCACCAGTCATATCATACATTGTATCGCATCATATAACTCATATCATAAATTGGCCATTTCAGATTATGTCAGTGATGTTTATGTTCTAGCAATCTGCCAATAATACAGGCATGAAGTACAACAGCAGTGGAGGGTTTTTTTCCTATTTAAAGGCTCAGTAGATAAAGAATAAATATTAATTCATACATACATAAAGCATTTTCTGTACTTTCTTAAAGTACTTCTCCCAGTTACAACACAAGGAGGCACCTAAATCCATAGGTAAGTTACGTCTTTGGGAGTAGAAAAATCCTTTTATGTGTTTCCGTTCAACAACCTTTTAATCTCATTGAATATCCAAGGCAAAACCAAGCATTTCATAATCTTATATCTTAACATCTTTCATATTCATCTTAATGGTCTCCTTTCCATACTAAGCAATCCTGGCTGGTTTTATGTCTTCATATGCACATAGCCACAATAAGAAAATTAGTTAGAAAATACCTGTTTAAGAAGAGTTAGCTCACCAACAGCTTTTGGGTTTAATTTTAGAGGCAAAGTTTGAATATTTGGAGTCAAATTCAGCCTCTGTGACAGCCTGATAACAGCACATCCACAGAGTGGTTCCGGGGAAGGATTCGGCCACCTGTGCCTGGCTAGATCTCTGCTCCTCTGTGCTCTTTGGCATGACTTTAACCTTTCCACACCACTCCTTGTGGCCAAAAGTGCTTGCTCCCATATCCTGAGCTAGTGCAGATGATGCATTTACAGGCTATGACATTATTATGGCAACGAAAAGGAAAAGGGAACACCTGACTGACTGGCAGGCATAGACTCACTTGGATCCTCCTTCAGTCCTGACCTGCCAAAGGACTTAAAATTGTGCTGGTTTTAAAGTGCGCGAGCAATGACTTGAACAAAATCAAGAGCTTCCAGTGTCAAGCCACATATTTAAGGTTAAGCACACCCCCTTACCACTTTGATGATTTGGGACCTTTGACAGATGTGAAAGTGAATGTTTGGAACAACGAGTCAAGAGAAACAAGATTAACTTAATGCAGTCAACATGAAGGAAGGTAGTTATTACCTGTTGGGGCGAGTGGAACCTCTTCTACACCTCCACTAACATATGTTGTTATGGGCTTATTTAACTCCTGGGGTAAAGCTGCCAGAGCACTGAAATCATCCATAAAATATACCATCCTTGGATTAAAGGCAATCTGCTCAAGTTCTGCCTTATCCGCACTCCTAACTCCAACAGCAAAAGTCAGCACTCCAGCCCGAGCTAATTCATTGGAAACTTGCAAGAAGGGATCGGCAGACCTCCCTGCCATCACCAGGACTAGGACCTGCGGCACTTGTTCATTTATTCTGCTCCCACCAGCTTCCGTGAAGTGATTCGAAAGCACAAAGTTCAGTGCAGAGCCAGTGTTCAGCACTGACCCCCCCTTGGGCCTCAGCTGCCCCATACGTTGAATTATGTCTGATTTGGTTTGGTACGAGTATAGAAAGAACTCAGTTTTAGGAGTGTCGCTAAATTGCACTAAGCCAACTCGGATTTTGTCACTGCCGACATCAAGGTAGTTAACTAGGGTGGCAACAAAGTCACGCACAAAGGGGAAGTTGGCATTTCCGACGTTGAGTGATCCATCCAAAAGAAAGATGATATCCCTTTTGGTTACTTGAACTGCAGTAGAGCACAGAAAACAACATGAGACATCACAGAAAACAAAAATAGATTTTTTTTTTCTCATGTGTGCATACAGCATACACCATACACACATGTAAACCTTGTTAGGAGGAAGGGGGGAGAGTGGGAGATAGAGAGGAGAAAGAGGGTGATCAGCACAGAAATAACAAGGAACTTTCTGGAAATGACAACATTTGGCAAGGGAGGTTTCTGATTTGTATTGAAAAGTCTCTTAAACGTCAGTTTATCAACAGGGCTCAGTCTCTGTCATGGCAGATGTTTTCAACAGCTGCTAATGCCAGACTTGCATGTTCAGGACCAGGTCCTTAGCTGGCAAAAGCCAGCCTCGTTGATGTTGGTGGAGCAACACTGAATTAATGCCTGAAGACACTCCACTTATCTGCCAAGTCACCGTGCATTCACTTGGGGCTTTCCAATGAAGCTTTAGGGAATGTTTCTGCTTTCTGGCACCTAACGTGTAGTTTGACACCCAGCGCTATCACCCTCTCCTCTAGGACTACGTCCTGCCCTGCAGTGACTTCCATGGTCACACTACCTTCGTGCCATGCAGCCAGCATTGGCTGGCCTGTGGCACAGTGTCAGGCTCCACTTGCATGGGAAAAACACATCTGTCAATTAAGCAATTTCGCTGGTATTTTGAGTAAAATAGCTTTTACTAATAGGCTTACAAAAGCTGGTCCCGATGAGGTTGCAACAGCTGCCTGAAACACCTGCCTTTTTGACATCTGCATTTAAGGCAGAAAACTGCATTTTAATGTCAGACATACATTTTGCAGGCTGCTGAAGTGGGGAGAAATTTCCCTCTTCTGGTAGTAATCAGTCAGTTTTCGTCTCCCTCATTAAGGAAAAATCCTTCCCAGGCTGTCTCCCAGCATCTGAGCCCTGAGATACAGATTTGCAACATCACCCTAAAGAAACCACAGCATCATCCCCCTGTGCTTTTTGCTCTAAATGCGTCATGTCTAGGTGACAGACCAAAATGCCAAAACTTTAAATGAGATCTCAGATAACTGATGAGTGGGCTCATCCAATGCATCCCTTGGATGTCTTCATCCAAATAAGTTACTCAAGAATATATTTGTGCCCATTGCTAATTCTGTTCAACATCTTTCTGTTTAAAGCATGTACCTATGGATATATGGCTATATTCATCCATCTCTCTAGCTTGCCTCGTCTCTGTAAGCTTGCTGTCCTATATATAAAATAAATACTGCGATATTAAAATCAAAATGGAGAAAAGGGCTCTTTGGAGTACAGGCATTGCTCTCAGATTTTATAAATTGTCTTGGCTTTCTGTATTTTTAATTTTCCCCAGAAAAGTGCCATTCAAGGCCCAGGGGGAGACAATATCTAGTTGAAATGTAACAGGCTGGCCTGTGTCAAAATCACTTTTGTTACTAATAATAGCCATTTTATGGACTAGGAGATGATTACTTGCTTATTATATATGTGAATAGCTGTGAGTACAGTAGAGCAGAAGGACTGGAAAAAAAGAGAAGCTGCATGAATGAGCTCTAAAGAACAAGAAAGTATGGGAACATTTTTAATTTACATTAAAAAATAAAAATGTCAGGTTTGGTGTATAGCCATGCAAAACTGTATTAGCAGGAAACGCATTCTGAAAAAAAGCTTATTAAATGATAAGTCCCGTGATATTCATCTTAATTAAGGACAAGTATTGGCAAACTGATTTTAAAATGTCTGCCCTTCATGTAAATCAGTCATAGGCTTTAATTCTTTAACGACCCTTTCCAAAAACTCATTTCCTTTTGCACTGTGGTTTATAATTTTAAATTAGTTGGAGAAACTAGAAAAAATATGGACATGGTTCGACACCCACTTAGAGCCAATGGGAACCTCACTACTGACCTTACTGGGAGCTGAAACAAGTCCTGTTTTTCTAATGTTTATATGCCATGAGACAGAAATGCAAGGTTCAGATATGATCTAGTGCAATACTAATTCAACCTCAAGTGTCTCTGTTGGGAAGAAATCCTGAGAAATTTGGTATAAGACCTCTATGCAGCTAGAACACCTCTTGAAATGCACGGGAAACTGCCTCAAAAGACATGACTAGAGATTGGATTGCTTCCAAAGTCTACTGATGTCAATGGCAAGACCAAGGAAAAAGAATCCACTGGCTTCATGGGGCTTTGGATCATCTTCTAGACAGATTAAATTAAAATCAACACTGCAATAATCTCGTATGTCTTTTAGGGCTTGAGCTAAGTAAATGATAAGAAAACTGTAAATATGTTCTTAAAGGGTCAGTTTCAGTCCAACAGCATCAGGCTAGCTTTCTCTGAACATCTCCATGAACAAACTTGCTTATTTTCTTTACATTCAGAAGAAACTTTTAAGCTTTCTTGAGCAAATATCCACTATGATTTATTTTCAAACTGGGGAAGAGATTATAACATTCACAGTGTGTCCTGTTCATAGGTTACACAAATCCTAATTGAGAGAAAATCCCTCCACTGAACGATTTCAGTACCTAGCTAGTAAAGCACATCTTCCACGTCAAGGCCTTTAAATCTTGGCAGCAAACATGGAATGGGACAAAAATCTCTGGGAAGGAAGGACAAGGCTGTAACAACGACCACACTACCAAATTCACTGATCTGTTCATGCACGTTTTGCAAATCAGAGAAAACATTTAGCTATGCTAAATGTGTGCTTGATGCTTTTATCCCCCTTATCTCTGCACATGATAGAATAAGAGTTGACAAACATATAAACCCTGTCTCTGTAATTAGGACAAGGTAATTAATTACCTGATGGTGGTTCTTGGACAATCAGTCCTCCAGAGAGCGTCCGGATAGGCGAGAGCACTTCGGGAAGAATGGCTTGCATGAACTGAACTCGGAAGTCATTTGGGTTGAACACAAAATCTCTCTCATGGGCAATTTCTTGAAGTTCTGCCAGATCAGCATTTCTCGACCCAATGGCAAGGATCACTATCCGATTCCTTTTCATCTCCGCTGCGGCTTGGTCAACAGCATCCCTGGACTTACCACCAGTGATGAGCACCAGCATGGGGAGCACTCCTTCCTCCATTCTGCACCCAGCAGCACTGGTGAAGAAGTTGGTTCTTACAAAGTCCAGTGCCGAGCCAGTGTTGAGTGCTGTACCACCCATGAGCTTCATTTTCTTCACGTTAGCCATCACATCCTTTCTGCTCTGGTGGGTGTTAAAATAAAACTCTGGCTTCACAGTGTCTGCATACTGTGCCACTGCAACTTGGATAAGGTCAGGTCCAACCTCCAGCCTTTGGACAATTTTGGCAACGAAATCACGAATTGCGTTAAAGGGGCCAGTCCCCAAAGCAGTTGAGCCATCTATCAGGAAGACTATATCCTTCTTGTTCACTTCAATAACTGCAAGTAACACATGAACATAATGTTAGCGGAAGCCTTCACCACAGTCTGTGCATCAATTCTACAACAGTTCAGAAACATTTAGACACCTTGTTTTTTTGAAGTACTGTTACTCTCAACACTTTTTAAAGGCTCTTGCTTTCAAAACAGAATTATTTTTTAGGTTCTAGCAGAGGGCTAATAAATTTGATTGAATATTTCCCCTTTCTAAAACACAGAAGTGTTGCAAGAATTGCATTATTTGTAAAACTTTATATTAAAATGCATATACATGTCAAAACAAGAAGGAAAGGCAGTCAGGAGAAATCTTGGCATGCAGCTGGCACATGAGATGAAATAAGCTGGTGATGCTCCCACCGTCTGCTGTGGAGCCATCTGAAACGTGACTCCGGTTTGGTCTCAGAAGGATTAGGTTCCCAAGAGCAATGACACAAGTAAAGAACAGTCTCCACTTACTCAACATACCTGGATTTGGGTCTTCACATCCTACATGTTATTCCTTATCTAACAAAAACAACTTATGTTTTTTCTTGGCACAGCTAGCCCAGTCATGAAAGAGCTGAATTATATTCTGGTTGCCATGTCTATAACAAAACGGGTCCCCTACGTTGTAATCTCTGAAACTTTATCACTGATGATGGCATAGGACACAGAAACAGCACAATTAGCTTTCCAGTTCCCTGGCTAAGTATGAAGGAAGATAGTCAAGGGGAAAAAAACCTGGTGTGTGGCACTGAAACCAAAGCACCATCGCATTTAATACAGCAAATGTACATGAAAAAACAGTAAATACTAACAAGACAAATACCATTATTATAAAAGCATTATACATGATGGGAGATAATCTTAATAGCATCTTTTAGACAACCCACATGTATTATTTGAAGCAGTAAGCTGTGGCCAGTATCGTAAATAATCCCAGTCTCATCATCACCTCCCTGGTTTCATGCCATTGAAGTGGAAAAGGAAACCTTGTGTTGCTTCCAGATTATGCTGGAGCATTATGGATCATTGTGTTTCATTGAACTTGGGGTGTCCTTAAATTGCCTACCCACCTAAGGGCTCCTGAGATGGGGTTAATATTCAAAGCAGCAAGTCCATCACCTCCCAGGCTCACTGTTACACCCAGCACTCAGTGTGGGGGAAGAGGAGACCCAGCATCGTCAGGATCTCACACCCCTCAGGGCAAGTGGTAGCAAACGCTCCCTTGTCCTGCCCGGATGGAAAAGGGCAGTCCGTCAGCCCATCAGGGCTCCTCTGTGTGAAGGCTGTTTACTTTGGATTTGAACAAAGAACAAAGCTTTGGCTGCAGTCCTCCTTGGCTGGACACCAGCTGGCCATGGAAAGCAGTGCTCCCAAAAGCTCGTCTCCGTCAGGTTTCTCATTACAGGCGAGTGCCATGAGATTGGGCTACCCCACGGAGTGATTTAGAACTGGAGATGAAATCTGCGACTCTGCTGTCCCCTCTGTCCTGGGACTCCCAGAGAACTGCCTCTGAGAGCAAGCGCGAGCCTTTGCAAAAGCCCCTCCAAAGCCTTGCTGGAAGTTGTTCAAATAAGGACCGATTGTCAAAATGTGAAGATTAAAATAGCCCATCATGGTGCTGTTGGACACAAAACTATGGGACCCTACAGGAATCGAATGTGGTGTAGCCCTCTCTTAGCCGCAGCCTCATGTGAGATTCTGGTGGCTTGCAGTTGACTACCTGGGCTATCAAAGCAGAGCTACTCACAAAGCAACAAGGATTTGTTTAAACTATCTCCTTTGCAGAGCAGTGAGACTTCCAGCATTCATCCCCCCAGCCGGGTTTTTTTCTTCATCCGTTACTCTGAGGAGGAGAGGGCTGAAAACAGAAAACTTTCCAAAGGGATAACAAGGGCTGAAATCCCTGCTTTGTATCACTCAGGAGAGATGTCCAAAGCACTTCCTTAGCTTGACAGCAGCTCGATAGTCAAAAATGGAGACCCTGGAAAATTTTGACTTTATATAGAAGTTTGTGGGAAACATCAAAGTGGCTTTGCAGAGATAAGGAAGGCCAGGAAGCAAGAGTTCCCTCTGTTACTCATTCCTCTTGCAGCTCTCAAATCCTGCAGTACATATCCTTAGAGAAGACGAAGGCAAGAACCGAAACCAAAACCCACAGGAAGAAACACCCCACGGTGCTAAATTCAATGGACACAATTAAAGCAAAAGCATTTAAGGAAGGCTGTACACATCTCACAGGGTCTGATCCATGAGCCCAGTGAAGCTGATGGCAACTCACAGGCTGCGGTATGTGTCCCAAACCAGTGCTTTACACTGCAGACTTCCAAGGCACCAGTGTGAATCACGCAGATCGGTCAAAATTAATTTCCATGAACACTAGGCAAAGGAAATTCCCTAAAGCTTCTTTGAAAATACCAGCTTGTCCATTTAGCGTATCCATCTATATATAATTTCACAGGCTGATGCTACTGTAGTACCTTCTACAAATGAGCTGTCATTTTAAGTGAAAGATATGAAAGTCCAGATGAACCCATATGTGCCAACATGTTTAATCTTACCATTCAAACAGCATTAAAGAGAGGTTTTCCCTTGTCTTGCATGGGTCCTGGCATGCACATTTTAGCTAGACGTGCGCACTTCAGCTTATTTAGCTAAATATGGTTCTTGTGGAGTGCTACAAGCAAAAGTGCTTTATGTTCTTTCCTGGAATAATCAAGGCAAGGTCATAAAATGATCTCTTAGGCAAATTCCTCCCTTTGATTTGAGCCATGGGATAGCAACCATGTTTAGACACAGATCAGCGAAGACATCTGGAATGCAGTTTTATATGTCAACATACATCATGAGTTGAACAGTATGTACAGAACTCCAGACTGGCACTTGGATCCCAAAAGTGTTGTTCGCATTAGGCGCTCTGGTAATTAAGTGCAGCAACTCCAGCCTGGCCCTTTCCAGGGGCCTCTGAAATACGACATATTATTTCTTCATAAAGCTTCTCTATCAGTAAATTTAACTTAGTCATAGAATCATAGGGCGAGAAACTCTTAATCACCTACTTGCTCCACAAATCCAGATATTCATTATTCTACTGTACCCAAGATAATGCTAATCCAGAAATAGTGTCAATGGGGACTTAAGAGTGACAAAGTGACCTAAGTGGAATATGGACACCTACATTTTCATTTCCTGTGGCCTCCTGGAAAGCTGTAAACTTTGTTAGCTTACGGATTGAAGGGAAAATACATGTTAATGCTAGCAAGGTAGGGATTTCACTTCAGAAGAACGAAGAGCTGTTTTGCTTTTAAGTTCAACAACAGAGGGATTTCACCCTTTTCTCAAGGATAGTGTACAGTTTCAATGAGGTACGGTATTTTACTGTTTCAGCAAGCTGATAACTTCGACACTGTGAAATAAGGATCAATTTAACATCACTGATAGCTTTCCAGTCAGATTTCATTCTCTTGACACTTTCAGCTGACACTTAATGTAAGCTTATGTGACATAAATATTTTCAGAAAGGACAGTGCTGCAGTATTTACCCTCAGGGTGCTTAGAAAGCCCAATTAGGATTATATGAGCTTTTTAATACTCTGCTTGTGTCCTTTAAAAACCCATGCCATGTCAGCTATTGACACAAAACCTCACAGTTTTCAAAAGATAACCCACTGGGCAAATGAGTTCCTGCACATTAGCCAAAGAGCTATTTTTTTTCCATTGTTTCTCCATAAGCAGGACAGAGAGATGCATTGCAAAAATAAAAAAAAATCTAAATTAAAAAAAAACCCTATGTTTTTAAAGCGTGCAAAAGCTCACTCATTCATCAATATGCAACAGTCTAGAAAGGCATACGTACCTTCAGTCACAATGGTTGGGGCCTCTAACAAAATGAGTCTTTGGGCCACTCCAACAATGTTGGGCAGTAATAAATCTCGAAGAGCATCAAGGTTACGGATATCCAGGGCAGTAAATGCGAAGCTTCCATCAGTAGCAATCTGCTGCAGCTCTGCACTGTCAGCATTCAGGACCCCAATGCTAAACGAAAATATACTAGCCTGCTTCACCGCTAACAAGCCCTCTCGGATATCATCACTAGACTCTCCACCACTTATCAGCACTAAAATCTGAGGCACTGCTTCCTCTATCCTGCTGCCTCCTGCCTGGGTGAAGAGGTTCTCCACCACAAACTCCAGTGCCGCACCGGTGTTTGCTTCCTCGCCACCGCGAAAACTAAGTGCCTTCACGGCATCCAGAACATCCGCTTTTGTGGAGTAGCTGTTCAAAGCGAACTCAGTTCTGGGTTGATCACTATACTGCACCACCCCAATGTGTATTTGCTGAGCTCCAACTCTGAGGCTTTCAATCAAATTTACAAGGAAATCACGTATGGCTTGAAAATTGACACTTCCGATGTTGTTTGATCCGTCAATAAGGAAAATAAGGTCAGCGGACTCTTGAGCTTTAAAAAAAGAAATGCAAAAGGTGAAAGCATTAAAATGAGTGATTACATGCAGTTGTACAGTGTTCTGACATGTTTCTTGGAAAACCAGTAAGAAACACGAAAATGAGAAAATAAAACACATGTTCACTGAGTAGGTGATGTTTGCCTCTCAGTTCTGCATTCTGATTGAATACAAGCTCCCAGCCCCATACCAGTGTCTGCTACTCACCAAGAGACGGCTCGAGCGGACACAACCTTAGCCAGCAGCTGCAGTTACATGGCCGTCAGCATTATAGGCACACAAGGAGAAGACTTGGTAAAATATAATTTTTGGAAATCTAGATCCATTCTATCAGTGACCTGTACTGTCCAAATATTTAGACAGAACCAACAGAAAAATGTGGATTTTGGTTGTAATTCACCCTGAAGATAGCGGGTGAGGACAGTAATATTTGTAGGAGGTCTTCCTCATTGCAGTGTCTTTTTTTTTTGGAGGGGGTGGGGGGGAACAAAAGCCACCATCTACTGGATGCATGGAAAGTTTTAGCCTCTCTGTTGCAATTCTGCTCTTTTGTTGGTTAAAAACAGTGGCTGAATATGTTGGCTTCTCCCACCATGAAGAATTATTATTTGAAATGCATTTGTTAGAAACAATTGAAAAGGTTTTGATTATTGTTCTTGCATTGTAACTCTTTTACCAGCTGCCAGCATATACATGATGGTATTTGTCCAGCAAGCTGACCCACACAATTGTCAACCTGTGCCATGCAAAAACTGTCTTGCCTTAATTATTTTGCACAAAGATGCATTGATTATCAATAGAGGGGTCTGGTACATATTTTTCATGTGGACTTTAGATATTCAATCAAGGAATGCAGAATCAGGTTAAAACAGGGTGATGAAATCAGTCATGGCACAATTATCCAACTCTATTTGTTGTGACCATACCCAGATGATCACAAGCATCTGCTGAGAATATACACACACCAAACAAAACTTTTATATGGCATGAACATGGCTGTTGAGGGGAAGCATTTTTGCTGTGAGACTTACCGAAGCAGACCCGAAATTCCCTGGTGTCTGCTTTTACTCTTTTGCTCAACTAATTTTACCAATAACGTCACCAAGAGCTGTGCGCCTACAAAAAGGCGGGGGGGAAGAAGACCCCAAAGCATGCTCGGATGTTTCCATGCTATCACTCTCCAATCTTGATAAGAAATCAAATTTTGGACTATTTGCAAATAAATGACAAGCAACATTTGGAAATCACACCCAGCTCTCAACTTTTGAAAGTCGAAGGTGAAACCAGCAGCAGAACTGGCATGTAGTTTAGCAAGGCCAGGAATAAACCTGCAGTCTTTGCTATCAACCAGCACTGCCAATCATTATTCTTATTTTTTTGGGCCTGTTTAGTTGTTTTTCTAGTAAATGTTTTCATAGATTGCAATGTCACCAAGAGACTCAAATAATACCACAAATCCAATGACAAAGGAGAAGATCTACAGGGCATCATTGCTTTTCTGGGCCATCTCAATAGCCAGTGTTGGCTTGAAGAACATCAGTGTGCCTCAGAATTGCAAAGGGTTCCAGGATTTATTTTTCCATCCTTGAAATGAAATTTAGGGGTCCTTAGGGCTGTCTTTACTGTGCCATTTTCACTTGGGATGTACACGTTCTACTTTATCATATAAATGAAAGGGAAATTTCAGAGTGGTTGTACCCAGTGCTGCTTTAGATACCCTGGACATCTTTTTGAGGAACAAGATTTCAGACACCAATGAGTGTCATTATGGCAACATGGGTCGCTCCCACAGGAAAGAAAATAAATATGAAGCAGATGCGTTGGATAATTTGTCATCACTGTAAAAAAAAACTCTTGTACTTCAGTGCACATTTATGGAACAAGCTGGTGCTGGAGAACAAATAAAAGCATGCTTGTTACACAACTAAGCAAGGAGGTTCAGATGAGACAGACAGCTAAGATTTAACAAATACATCAGGGCAAACTTGAGGCTGACTTTCATATTTATGCTAGTCAGCTCTGGGGACTGCCACAGACCAACAGCTTTAGTACTCTATACTGGAAGTACTACGGGACCTAGGGTTTTTTAATTTTCTGTTTCATATTAGGGCTCATTTCTAGCATAACATCCATGGCATTTTTATACACTTTAATGCTACATGGAGTTATCAGCTAAAAAAATGTCTTCTTAAACTCTTATGCAGTTATTTGTACCGTGCTTTGCACATTGTTGTCATCCAACATTTAGGACCTGTAACATCTTTTCCCGGGTTTAATCATACTCCATAGATTGCCCATGCAAGTCACACACTGGCAAAGCTACAATAGTAGGATTTTCTGAAATTTCTGTTATAGGGGGGCAAGGAAATATTTGCAAAAAGTATCTTTGAGTCGAAATTAACTTGGAAATGCATGATATACATGAAGCAGGGATTTGCCTTTAAAGCTTTTAAAGAAATGTCTGTGACTCCAGATATTTATGTACTATGGGGTTGCCTGCTGGCATGCCCCAGAGGATGACAGCCAGACTCCAAAGACCAATTTCCCTATTGATTTCTACAGGGAAGCACCGGCGTCCTTCACAGTGAAGATGCCGAACAGCTGCTGCAGTGCTGTCAGCAGGTTGGGTTAACATTCATTTTCCACCTATATTGACATGATTTTCTTGGAATTGGCAAATGTTATGTCATGTTTCTGGGTCAGCTGCTTTTCTTCCCTGTGGCTTTCACGTGACCTGGATATTTGCCCTGTCAAGCACTTTGCACAATAAAAACACATGTGAGCACAGCCTTTTGGTGTTGCTCGGTGTCATGCAGTGATGGAGAGCACCCAGTGGGGCTGGCGTGAGGGTTAATCAGGCAAGACAACACAGGGGGATTAATGTTACACTGCCTCATTACACTGCTGTTGTCTTACATCACCCCACAAGCTATTGACCTTCAGATGGAGTCTCAGGAATAAAAAGAAAGGTTTGATCTCTGGGACTTCTGTTTTGAAACACGAAGCTGTTCAGAAGGCGCTTTCCACGCTGAAATTTCATAAACAGAGAAGGGACAGAGGAAGACTCTTCCCCCGCCTCCACCCGTAAATTGGGCCCCCAGCTTGCAGTCAGCACAGATCCATTGAAGCCAACGTAGATTGCAGAGAGGTTTCAGTTATGGGTCAGAAAGGGTCCAGCACTCCGGCAGGTGGAAGCCATTGGCTTGTAAAGAAGGCATTTGAGTGGCATCGCAAAAGGGACTCTCTAACCACGCACGCTTTCTCCAAGCGTATAAGGAGAGAGGCTAAGGGCCAGATCAGGGATGGGGTTTCAGTGAAGAAGTTCTTCCCTGAACTGCTTTTGCTGTCTTCAGCCAAGAATGTGACTTTCTGGAGTAGCACATTGCCTATTTCCCCTGCTAGCTGCAAGGGAACATCCCTCATAGAGCGCCTGCAGCGACCTTCTTGGTCTCCAGAGGGTTTTCAGTCAGGGCCTCAGAGTCACCTTGACAGCTGGTGTGTTCATCACCTGTTTCCCTGCCTTGGGAGTGGATAGGATGGAGCAATTCAATAAATCTGCAGAGCTCTCTACATTTGCATTTCCATGCCACAGGCGCAAAAGGATCGCCACAACAGGCCGCTGCCAATCCAAGGGCTCCTGCACTATCTCCTGGCAGCTCTGGCAGGGATGCCAGTTCGGTCTGCAAACAACAGCACGCCTGATAGCTACAAACATGGGGCCACATGCTTCAAACCTTTGTTTTTAAACCTCTGAACATCCATCTCAGTCTTGCCCCTACAAAGGCCTTAAACAGCGCAACGCCAGCAGATACCATGCTGATGGGAGCCATCAGCAGTCAGCCATTACCTGTGATGTCTTTAACCAGTCCTTTGGCCCCAGCCTTTTCTGGAGTCATGGATGAATGGACACTCGCCACTAAGTCTCCAACTATGCCGTGGAGAGCGGTAAAATTCTCTAGGTTGAAAAGGTGCATATCGAAGGGTTCGCTTGCTATTTCCTTTAACTCCCCTTCCACTGCATCCTGCACGCCGACCGCAAACATGTTTACACGGGCCGATTTAAGGACAGATGATGGCAGAGCCACATCATCCTGGGATCGTCCGTCCGTTAACACTATAATAACCTGGGGGACGCCTTCACTGGCTCTGCTTCCAGCAGCTTTAGTGAGATGATTCTCGATTAGGTACTCTAATCCTTTTCCAGTCTTGGTGCCTCCCCCCATGTAAGGCATGTTGGCAATATGGGACAGGACATCTTGGGTAGAGGGGTAGGTATTTAACTGGAACTCTGTGTGGGGGTTTCCGCTGAACTGGACCAGGGCAAAGCGAAAATCATTTTCTCTCACATCTAAAGCTCTTACAACATCATACAGAAACTCTCGAATGAGTTGGAAATGTTCCTTCCCAATGCTCCAAGAGGAATCCACTAGAAATATTATATCAGCCACGGCAATGGTTTTGACAGCTTTAAAAAAACAGATGGGGGTTTAGGATTTTCTACCAGTCAGCACAAGCATGCCTCCTCCTCCTCCTCACCCAAACAACCAACAGCCTCTTTCGCATGGTGAAAGTGAAGCTTAGCTTCCCCTTACCGCCCGCAGCAAAACTAGAAGCGCTAGAGAAAAACCAGGCAGCCATCAGCACCCTGACACCGCAGGCATTGGGGGACAGGAGGGGACAGCCTTCCCAGGGAAGGGGAGGTGAGATGTTTCTCCCCTCACCGCACAGGTTTGGACACCAGCCCTGAGCCAGACAAAGATGCCTGCAGCTTCACGCATGAATTCAGGCTTGCTCAGCTTCTAGCTGCCCATGGTCTCCTGCACATTTTTTTTCTGACTCAGGGCTTTGCTGGCTCTGCAGCAGTGCTCAAGGGAGGAAGGGCTGCTGGCCTTAAGCAGCCTGGGTGCCGGAATGCGTTTTCCATATTTTTTCTGCTGCTAACACCCACCCCACCCCCATGACACAAAAGACACCAGCGCTTTTTCTCAAAAAAGCCAAACAGCCCCTCTGCAGGTCAGTGCCAGTGCTCTTCTCACTGCAAAAATCCCTCCTACACATGCAAGGAGGGCAAAATAGCTCTGCCCAGGAGAAAACACATTCAGAGCCACCCTGGGTGCACATCCCACACCTCCATCCCCCACAGAGCATCCTCAAAGGCACACCACCGGCCGGCAACATGCTCAGGAAGGCACCACGCGCATTGGCTAAGGTCTGGGTCCGAAAGGACCCTCAGCCGAGTGGGAGCTGAGGAGCAGAAGGTAAACCACAATGTACGATCGACATGCATGTTAAAAACCAAACTGTGCAAACTAGCAGCACATTTGTACAGGGGTGAAGTCAGGTAAAGCAGTCTGGTCTTACCTGCTTGCTGCTGGGCACAAACTGAGCAAAAGACTGAGAGAAGCAGGCAAAACATTGCCGTGAAGGGCAAATGTCGATGTTTCCTCATTTTGGTCTTTTATCTAAGTTTTCCTTTTATTGGCTTTGTTTCAAAGCACCCAATGTGAGACCTAAGGGAGAAAAACAGGAAGAGTGAGAAACAGCCGCAGTGCTGGCCGGGCACAGATGAGACACAAGATAGAAAAGCCAAACCATGTGGTTTTGCAATGCTTTTGTGGCACTTCAGCAAGAATAAAATATTTTAATGCTGGACAGAGTCTGCTTCATAGCAAGTGTTTTTTTGGAATAGGAATCATCACTTACATAATTGGCATTTAATCACCCTTGTGGATTTAGGTGTCTTTCTCCTTGCCCATGCTGCCCCAGGTAATACCAAATATGTAGGAAAATGGTCAGCCTAGGTTTCTACCACCAATGTTTAAAATATACAATGGCATCTCACCTGTTCTCCTCACCCATGGATAACCACGTGAACATCTTAGGCAACACATTCTCTCTTGCTGTTGCCTCCCCCCAGCTTCCTCCTTTTTTTTTTTTTTTTTTTTTTCTTAAAAAACAAACACTAGAATAACAATTGCCCTGAACATCCCTTATTGCCTCAGCTCACCCTTTCAGCTGTCCCAAATATACAAATGGAAATTTAATTACTTGTGAGCCACATGATCTGGCTGTACAGCAAAAAGCCCTTGGACTCCGCCAGGCTTGCAGCCCCAGTGGTGGAATAGCCTGAGCTAGCTGATCACATTTTGGAAATGCACCAATAATAATATTTTACATGTTGGAGCCAAAAATATAATTTATGGAAGTTTCTTATCTGTGATCCACCTGGCAAGTCTTCTGAAACAATGTCTCCTTCAGGAAAGCTGTGTATCTGTTGTCATAGAGATGGCCAAGTTATTATTTAATCTTCATTTCCAAGCCTACAGAGCAGGAACCAGCAAGACTTGCTTAACCAAGAAAATATCCTCCCAAAATGGAATGCAGTGATTTAATACTTTTCATTCCCCAAAAGGAGCTCAATTACTCAAATGCACCAAAAGTGATTCAAATACATCAAGTTATTACTGGGTCATCATTAAAAAAAAAAAAAAATCAATTTTCTCATAACCATCTTTGCCAAGCCCCTCAGTCCAGAAAATTATGACTACTACAAGAGGCTAGGAGGGCAGGTAGAAGACTAACCCCTCTTTAAGGAAAGCCATGGTAGTTACACAGATGGCCATCACTGGCACAGCTGGAAACAGAACCAGGTGCCAGAAATTAGAGAAAATGCAGAAATAAACATCTGAACAGCTGATCCCTCTTCCACTGAAGAGACACTCCTTAGAAAAAAAACAGTGGAAAGACGGGGACACCCTCCACCTTGTTTCCAGAAACCTGACACTTCCACTGGCTCCCTGTCTGCCAAAGCCAAGTTGGGGTCTGGTCTTCCATGAAAAAAGGGGGTTGCAGCATTTGCTTTTCCAGGTGCTCCACATGGCATTTATGAATGCTACATAGCATAAGTCAAGCAAAAGCTAGCCCCTGTCGTTCCCCCCAAATTTGTGTATAATAATAACACCAGGTGGAGAGACAGTCAATAAGCACTCAGAGCCAGCACCTTGCATGCAGCATTAATTAAGACATGAAAAGTCTTCCCTGTTACTGGCAACTCCTCGATTCATAGAGGCAGCTGATGCAGCCCAGAGGTATTGCTATCATTCATAAAAAGACTAAAAAAACATCTTTGTTAGCTGGAGCTCATCCATCCCCCTGGCTGTTGGAGTCCAAACCAAACCTCCCAGTGCCTCCAGTGGGACCGAACCTGCTCTGCTGGACAGTGTCCCTGATTGCGCCCAGCTTGCTCCCAGAAAACCTAGTTTCACCCAAAGCACACATGGGGAGGGGAAAGCTAGGCTCTGTGTCCCCATAGGTGCTGAATTAGCCATGGGCATCGCTACGGGCTTTGTCCCCTGAGCACACAAATACAGAAAGGTCTGGAGGTCCCAGAGCTGAAGTTAGCAAAAAGCACAGAGCTTGGGACAACCACCCATCCAACACCACCAGAGCATCTCCCCTCTGGGCAGAAGAGATCCCTGGAAGAGTTGCAAGTTTTTTTAGGGCTTGCCTTGCAGCATCCATTGGGAGTAAAAATGTTGCTAGCAATGAATGAAAAATGTGGAAAAAAAATGGAAAACCAACCTGTTAAAATAATGTGTGCCGTAAAAGTGCTAGTGTTTCTTTTCCAAAATGCAGGAGGTTATGCTATCATCATGTTTATTAGCTGCTGGCATCCTAGCCCTCTGCAGTCGCAACAGCTGGGGGTGAACTGCACATCAAGATAAACCAGTGAAAATTAATGTCTTACCAGCTAATAAATGACAGGACCAAGGCAAATATTTGGGGTGGGTTTTTTTGTTTTAATGTTGAGCAGGTGCGAAAGACTTTACATCCACAAAACATGGCAGAAAGGAAAAGAAAATCTCTCCGGTGTTACAAGAGCTCCCCTGCCCACAACATGCCCCATGACCCTCTTGCAGTGGTGGGCAACTGGGCTTTACATTGAATGGGATTTCCAAACTCAGTAGTGGATCTACGCGTACATCTTTAGGGCTGCTTTGGCTTGAAACCCCTTGAAGAACTACCTTGCCCGTGTTCAAACAAGGAGCCTCGGAGACAGCCAGGGCTGAGCCCACCTCTGTTGGATCCCTTTGGGTCATGATTCAGCCCCAGAGCTGTATTTTATGAACCTCTATCCTGACAAACCTGAACAGCTAAAAGTCACGAGTCAGCCTTTGGGGCACTGTGAGATAAACCTGGATATCACAGTGTGTTAAAGCAACACCCAGTCTCAGCTTTGATTTATTTGACCTGGCCAGCTGGGAAATACAACACCTTTTTCAAGCAATAAAAAATTGGCTGTTCTTTTTAGTCACCTTCTTTTTCTTTTTAGCGTTTAGGAGGTCTCCAGATCTAATTCCAGCTTTCTCTGTGACCTCCATCATGTTATTTTTAGTTATATGAAAACAGAGGGACTTGTTCACCAACAAGATATGAGTTTTAGCATGGTGCTTCCCCAAAACCATCCTAAAGTCACAGGAGCTGAAACTAGTTTTTAGAAGGAAAAAAGCAGCAAAGCCTTACAGGAAGAGTGATTGATAGTTCTTAGAGATGTACTAACAACTTATGGAAGAGAGGTGCATTTAAGCACACGTGTTCCTGATCAGGGTTTTTCTTTAATCCCCCCCTTTCCACAGCACCCTTGTTAGCAAAGGAGGACGAGTTGGCTGTTTGCAGAAAGAGGTGGGTGAGGAGATAATCTTCCTGTAGGAGATGATCCTTGAGAAAAAGCAGCAAGGACAGCAGGTTTTTTGTGAAAATAATGCGCTTTTTGGGGGGTTTGAATTAAAACTCTGTTCAGATCTGGTTTGACTAAGCTAACAGCAAGTCTTTGGCTCAGTGAGAAAAGCGGGTTTAAGACAGTAAATGATGTGATTTTTATTGCTTGGAGGTATGTCTTGCTTGGCTTGCCTTGGTAAGGCACAAGTAGTAACTTGCTTTACTCAATGTGTTCTTCCTTTGTGTCTCAAGTTACCACTGGTCACAGAAGTTGGAGGTGGTACCAGTTTGTAGGGGGTGGAGCATAAAACCAGGGATGTGAACTTATGCTAATTTATTTTAATTCTTGATTATGGCAAGTGTCTGGTTTGCAACTTTATTCTCCTGGATTGTTGTTATTTTCAATAAGGCAATTTTGTGCTGGATTTTTTTAAATGCAAAGTTCCTTGTAGTCCTGGGGGGTGAAAGCTCTTGTGGAGCTTTTGATATAACCACCGCAAGCTGGAAAAAAAAATGATGAAAAACCTGACTACTGAGTGCCTTTAGAAAAAGAAAGCATTTTCCCAAACTGTTGAGAATTAGCAACAAAACCTGAGGAGCTAGTCTCTTAATAATTCATGTGCTAAAAGATTAACTCATGTAATCTTCAATAATCTGAAGTTTTTATGTCTGTCTAGAGGTTATATAGTGTGTGGTGACTTCTTAATATTACAGTATGTCCTCCATTTCATCAGAAGATATACATCTGTTACTAATAATGCTTTCAAAAGGCAATCATTTCTACCACTAACGCAATGAAGTGATTTCCTTAAATATTTTTCCCAGCAGCTATTTTTTGCTTATTGCATACTTCACTGTGCATAAAATCTGACATTTTAGATTTTTTTTTTATTTGAATGGATGTTTCAAATTCACTTTCTAAGCAATCATTCATTTGTGTGTGTGTTTTCACTACAGTGTAGTTAAAATAAAATCTGTAAAAGTGCAAAGCAGATGAGTAGACTTAAAAAAGCAAAACATAAAAGACAGGAAAAAAATTACTACAGCTGTTACATATCACTTTGATTCATTACATGTGCCTCTCAGCTGGGCTGGCTGGTTTTGAGCAAGGGGGGAAGTATCTATGGCTTTGGTGCGAATATAAATGTGGTGTGTCATGCGTAGATGTGGATGGCTGCTAGGGCAGACAGAGGGAATAATTAGTGTTGTTGCAAAATACCTCTTAAAACTGAATTCCCAGCTGGGCAGTGCTTCAGGCACTGATGCTATCTATCTTGATGGACTGTGAGAGAAAGCTCAAGCTGTGCAATCCGATTGCTATCGGAGGGGTTTTCTGTACTAGTGTTTTGTAGTGGCCTAATGCTTTTCTTCAAGGCTAAAGGACTGAGCTGGGCAGAACTGACTTGTAGGGTGTGATAACCGGGAAATCCAAACCTAGTGATTTATTTGTGAAATTTGTTCCCATCGGCTTTTCCTCCCCATGACAGTGTTGTTGCTGAGGGGAGGTGAGCAGTCTTTCGGAAAGGACAGAGGACACAAAGCAACTGTGGTAGGTAGAGCCATGACTTGTAGGCTGTTATTCTGGGAACAAATGGCCTGGGTTTGGGCTTGGGCAGCCTATGCAGTTTTGCTAGCTGGTACAGCCAAGGACCTTTGGGATGCCTCACTGCCCTCAACCAAAGTACATGTAGTCCAATTTTCCTGCCCAGCCCCGGGGGCATCCCCCTCCCC